TGGAGTGCAGCACAAAGTTGTTTCTATTTTTCTCTTTAATAAAAACTTTTTCTAAGAATTGTTTAGTACAGCCCCTATCACCTACACATCATTTTGAATTAATTTCCTTGAACATTTTTATTTTTTTGTGGATATTTTAGAGCTCAGTGAAATGAGGCTAAGGGATTCGTGTGGTGTCCTTGACAAGATTTCCTGATGTTTGTGAACAGATTGGCAGGTTTCAGGATGGCTAAAATTTTTTGTCTCCCTTTTCCAGTGAATTAAAAAATTTTGGGCATAATAATCTTACTCTCCACCTTGTGTATATCTGCTTTGAGGATTTGTATTCTTGTAGGATTACATTTGGGAAGGTACCAATGTGTTGAGTTTTTTCACTAAGAATTTTTGCTACATTATTAGCTTATTAATTTTACCTTTAAAACTCTGCTGTTTCTTGTTCCACTGTGTGTTAAAAGCAGAGAGTGTTCACAAATCCTGTGTTTATAGGGTAATGCATATTCTAAAATATAACACAGATAATCAGTGTTTCTTCATGGGTTATTGTTCAGTATGTTCTACCACTGTTGTGCAATCATTCATTTATATGCAACAAAAGTTCAAAATTTTATTTAAAACAGCATTTTCACAGCTGCTCTCCCACCCATTACATTTTATTTGATTTTGTCTAGGTGCAAGCAAAAAAGAAGAAAAACAGTGAGGAAAAAGAGAAACCAGCAAGTATCCTTTTTATTCATACCGTAGCTTTAGGACATAAATACTTTGTACTTGGTTAATTTCCAATTTCACATTTTCCAGTATTACAGATGCTTTATAGAAAAAGTCTACTGTCACATGAATCTAAATTAATTCACCTGCAGCAGTCACTTTTTCAATTGTTGAATTAAAGGAAGAATTAGTCACTACTTTACCTATATAGATAGATACGTATCTATCTATATATACTATCTATCTATAGATATATATATGACCTGAGATTTATGTAAGTTTAACACTTACTGTAGCTTACCTTTTACTCTGTATCAAGCTACTAGAACTACTAATCTTTGTATAGTATCGGGTAGGGTAGCAGTTTGCCACACAGACGTTAGTGTTGTTCCTTTGTTAGTGTTTTGTGTAATTCTTCCTTGGTAAGCCCCCTCTAGCAGACCGTGGAAAGGGCCGTAAGACATAATCTACTGCAACACCTACACTAATATAAACACTTCCCCAAATAAAAAGCTGTCAACAAGCTGTTATTTTTCTCAATTTTCTGGATTCGTTTCTGTTGGTAAAAGTCAGAAGAAGGTTCAGCAGGGATTTATATAGAACCCAGATTCATCATGTGTACCCCAGTTAGAAGTGCAGTGATTTTGAGATCCTAAATGCCCACTCAAGATGTCTGTGTATCTTTCTGTCTGCCCTGCCAGCAGCAGTGTTCCTAATTAGACATCTCAGTTGTCTAGGCGAGTTAGGGTGAAGGGAAGGTTTACATAGTCACCTAAAAATTACAAGCATAGGGGTATCGGTCATACTCAATACACATTTTCCATGGAATTTGCTTGGGTTTACATAATTATATAAGCTGTTTGCCATAAAATTTCTAGTGACTGATTGTTGGCTTTTTCTTAGGAGACTTGTGTGTGTAAGTAAAACAAAGCTTTTATACCAAGATTGTTTTGTTTACATAATGTCACACCTATTCAAGAATTCCAGTTGAAATTCTGATTGAAAAAAGACAAGATTGTATCTCTTAGCCTCTCTACTATAGTGATCAAGATAATAACTTCAGGACTGACTACAGTAGGGTTAATTGAGTGAACTCATATTTACAGTTGAGATCAGAACTGTTTTATTTTAAATGAGGTGCAAGTGCTGGAGATTCTAGCCAAGTTTAGTTGAACTATTTAATTCTGCACAGTAAATAGAAGCACTTACTTTAAAATATGTAAACATCCTGATTATTTCCACATATATAAATGTCACTGCTTGTCAAAGCACTTCCTTACTACTTTCTGAGAAACCTATAAAGCACTGATAATCATTTAAAAGTTTAGGAAATATAATAGTGACAGTGATGGGAGGTGTGAAGTAGCCAGACCATGATGAAGGTAAATTGAAGACTGCTTATAATAGTGCAAATTACTGGGTAAAATAGGAATTTTCTTTTTGTGATTTCTCAGTAGGCTCTTATAGAAAACCCTTTTGAAATGTCTTTGTAAAGATGTCCTTTCTGTGCTCTTATTTTTCATTAATGGAATTTAATAGATGGCAATTTTACTCTACAGTAACTTCCATTTAATTTTGTTATTTTTTAGGATAAAACAAAAAAGAGAAAGAAGCACAAGAAACACGGTAAAAAGAAGAAAAAGAAGATTGCTGGGTCAAATTCAGATTCGGAATAATATTTAAAAAAACCCAAGACTATCAACAGAAGTGCAATGACTAAAGGAAACTTAAACTGTGAAATGACAGCAAACTTTACCAAACTGCATGAGTTTTCCTGTGTTTTAGAAATACTCCTAATCTTTCAGTAGCCAGCCTGATACAGCTGTGCTGGGAAAGACCATTGTTATTGCCTGCTGCTTAATACATGGGGTACAACTTTTAGGAAATTCCAGTAAGCAGTGTTAAATGTTTGAAACAATACGAGATGGTAGTCCAGCTGAGGTGTAAAATATTGGAAAGTAAGAGTTAAACTTTTTAGCTATTAAAAGTAGTCTTTTAAAGCATTAGTAAGTCTTTATTTGTAAATCAGGACAAATAAAATCCCAAGTTCATCCTGCAGGTTAATACTATACATAAACTATTACAAGCTGGTGTCTGCTAATGGCATTTACGAAATGGGAGATTAATGATAACATTTTCAATGCTGCCTTTGTAGAAATGTTTATCATCAGCCCCATTACCGTCTTCATGCTTATGAGAAAGGGAATGCTACCATTTTGGCTAACTGAATAGGGTGCCTTTGCCTTTGGTTCTTGCAAGTCTCTGCTATTTTTAATCCATGCAGCATCTCTGATTCTAGGGAAGCCAGAACTATTGTCAGCAGACTTTTTCTGAATAAGCAGTTCTGGGCTTCTAAGCATGTGCTTCTGCATTAAGCAAGAGCAATGACATGTTGCTGTATAACTGACATTCAAAACCTGACGATTTTACCTCTGCTTCTTTGAAATAGCGATAGATCTTTGCTAGTAAATATGTATATTTCATTTAATGTAATTTTGGTTTAGTTCAGCATTTCTTGCAAACACTGGTAGCTTTCTTTGCATTATCTTTAGAATTGTTTTGCATGATTTGTACCATTTTTAAATTAACAAAATGCAAGTAATCGTTTGTTGTAACCAGTTCTATGAATTACGTTCCACATGCAGAGTTTCATGTATGTATTTAGTTACTCTTATAGTTAAGTTCATTGCTGTGTTTAAGTGCACATTTGCTGAAGATATTTAGCATGTAAAAAGCAGGGTTTTGATACCTTAACAGCTTCATATTGAAGCTGATTTTACTCTAAGCAAGTTCAGTGGCAGACCTGTTACGTGATGTGTCTTGTTAGATAAAAAAACTACTGCCAGAATCTCATTAAAGATACTGTTTAAACAGTTTGTATTTATATTTTTGTACTTGAAGGCTACAGAATGTTGACCTAAACCATAAAGCTGTTTTACTTTAAACTAGTTGCTTTAGAAATTGAAAATAGTTTTTATAAATTAAATGTGCACACAAGAAGACACAAGCAACCATTCAATTTTAGTTTTTACATGAAATTCTCATTATATCTTCTACCCATTGCTGAGCCTCCTATTAGCCTTTAACAACTGCCCATCCATCCCAAGTGGTCAACTATAGATTGTACTCTTGATCCACCCCTTTTTTCATTGCACGGGTGCTAACTTAGAACTTACCTCTATTGCAGACAGATGTTTCGAATATTGTATTGCCAAGAATTTTGAGAACTTTAAGACATTGATTATTAGTCTGCAAACCATAACTAAAAACGGGGGGAGAAATACGATTTTTGTATTGCCATTCTACAGAGAAACTGACTTTTCAAGTTAAGTTCTTGGGAAAATACAATCATTGAGTTGGAGCAATGTCCCTCTAAACCGTAGTAAGAATATATTGATGAAATATTTTATATTGTTGGGCTTAATGTTACCTATTCTAGACACTGTTTTGTTTTGTTAAAATAAAGGCAAGATGCAGTGAACAGTAGGGGATTGGTTGGGGTTTGTGTTTGGTTTTGTTGGGGTTGTTACAAAGTTGTGGTGTTGCAGTTTTGGTAAAAGAACTTGTAATGAACTAAAGCATAAATGCTCTGTCTGTGTGGTACCTTATTTGACTTTTACACAACTTAACTGCACCAGAAGGAAATAAAAATGGAAATGAGAGCCCAAATAGTCCAAATCTATAACCCAGTATGTCATTTTAATTGTCTGAATGTAACTGTTCTTATCAGCAGTGTGTGCTTCAGATACTGCACTCACGCTTTGGAAGGGGTGTAGCTGCATAAGGGGCTCATGGGGTTTGTCAGCTCACAGCAAAGCCGCTTCCATACTGACAGTGAAATGTTTCTGTTTCCAATACATTAACAAATCCATTGCAACTCCTCTTGCAGCCTTTGTTTTTTTCCCGAAGGAAGAGTAATGCCTGGTCACAGCCCTTCTGCTTTCCCCATTTTGTACATGCTGAGTACATGAGCAGATGATGTGGGTTTCGGGTGGCACCAGGCAACCTACAAGCACGGTCCACATTTGAGCAGTGTGACGAAATAGAAAATAATAAAAGTGCTTTAATGGATTTCTGTCTTCTGACAGCAGATGAACAAATAGTGTTGTATGTGGTAGTTAATTTTCAGCTCTTCTTTCCAGAAACAAATTTAGAAGTTTGACACCCAGCAACTGCTATTTTTTTTAATGTATGTTAAAGTTTCTCTTTGTTATGCCTAGAGACATGTATTTATGCGTGACCCGGCAGTGTCACCAGGCGGCAGGGCCGGGCCCGCGTTGCCGGGGCAGCGGCGAGCGGAGACCCCGCCGCCATGAGCAGGAAGAGGCTGCAGCAGCTGGTGGAGTCGCTGGGCCGATCCGCCAAGCACTGTGAGTCGGGGCGGGGGGCGATCCGCCGAGCACTGGGAGTCGGGGCGGGGGGGCAATCCGCCAAGCACTGTGAGTCGGGGCGGGGGGCGATCCGCCGAGCGCTGGGAGTCGGGGCGGGGGGCGATCCGCCAAGCACTGTGAGTCGGGGCGGGGGGCGATCCGCCGAGCGCTGGGAGTCGGGGCGGGGGGCGATCCGCCAAGCACTGTGAGTCGGGGCGGGGGGCGATCCGCCGAGCGCTGGGAGTCGGGGCGGGGGGCGATCCGCCGAGCGCTGGGAGTCGGGGCGGGGGGGGCGATCCGCCAAGCGCTGGGAGTCGGGGCGGGGGGCGATCCGCCGAGCGCTGCGGGCGAGTCTGGAGGCTGCGCACGGCCCGGCCGCCTGAGGGGAGCGGCGGGCTGCCGGTGCCGGTGCCGCCGCCTGAGGGGCGTTCGCTGCTCCCGGCCGCCTCCCCTCGTCCCTGCGCGCATTCTTCGGCCGCGTTCCCCGCTCACCCCGCAAGGGGGGCACTTGCCACCGCCCCCTTTGCGACAGCGGGTACGGGGCGGGGGAGCATCGGTTAACACCGGAGATGTCCTGACCTGGCAGCTTCCCTGTGCCTGCCGTGTGTTTTTACCAGCTTAAATTATAAAATATGTTCGCTTGTGTTCCGGCTGGGCAGTTAATAAAAGCGAAGTGGAATGTCTGGTCAAACTCTTCGACAAGCTGGTGGCCGAGTCCAGCAGCCGCTTTGCCGCCGTCGGCTTTGACCGTAACATGTTCAGAGACACCCTGCACAGCTCCTTTGGCATGACGGACGACATGATCATGGACAGAGGTGAGACTGAGAGGTCTAAAAAAAAGATGTGAGATTTGAGTTCGACCTTGTTGACCCAGTGAGCATGCCTAGATGAAATGGTGCCATTTAATCGCTGCAAGGACAGCAAAGGAAGAGTTATGCTAAGGAGCTACTGAGTAAAGGAGATAGATAGAGAGAGAGAGAGAGAGACAGATAGGTAGGTAGGTAGGTAGATAGATAGATAGATAGATAGATAGATAGATAGATAGATAGATAGATAGATAGATAGATAGATAGATAGATAGATAGATAGATAGATAGATAGATATGGTTTCCCTTAGTTCAGAGTAGCTCACGCTCTTGTACGAGGGAGACCGGCCAGAGGCAGTTGTAGTGCTACCCTATGGCTGTTTCTAGCCCAGTCGCTGCGGTGTGGTGACCAAAGAGGGCAGCTTGGTGTCACCTCGCTCTTTTCTCCCAGAACTGCAGCCACTGCTGCTGGTGGACAGCTCTCACTCAGACTTGGAGGTCCCAGAAAGGCATTCTGTTAGAGCAGGTAACTTCTGGAATAGAGGTGCTGTGAACAGCACTGAAGGGACTAGGCAGACAGTACAGGGAGATGAGAGTAATGAGCCAAATAACTGCTTGAAAATACTGTGATTTCACAGATTCATAATGCGAGGGTCCCATATGCAGTTGCTGTGAAAGTCACATGAATGATCTCTAAGGTACAGGTGTCTAGAGGAGGATGTGGAAGAGGCATGAATCTGCCATTCCTTTCAGTCTCAGGCTGCTATTAGTCACCCCTTGGTTCAACTTTCTCCTGTTCTCTATCATGAGGGCTATTTAAATGCCATAAAATAAAAACTTGTTGGCAATTTATGCAACAAGTCAAGCTTACATAAAAGGGGGCTGGTTTCAGTTTGCAAATGTATTGTTTTCCAATTCCAGAATGCTTGGCTCTGCATGTAGAGGTGTTCATACAGCCAACATACTAATTAACATTCTAAAATATGAATTATTATAGATGTTACTTGATGCTTTACATTGTATCTTGGATACGAAGTACTATATTACAGGCTGTATGAATAGTGAAGCTGCAAGATTGAAAGTTTCTTAGGGAAGGGAGAAGAAAAACAATTTTGGTACATGAAGGACAGGAGAAGGTTATTTTTCTGTTTATTTAAAATGTTTATGTATTGTTTCTAGGATTACTTTCTTCAAGATGTTCAGAGACAAAACCTAGTAATTAAAATCTTCTGTATGCACCTGTGCCTTAGTGTAAGGGATATTGGTTTATTTGGTTAACATCTGCATGGAAGCATACTTCCTTCTGACTTAACTACAGTTAAGTAGTTAAGTCAGAAAAGCAACACATCAAATAAAGTGTCTTATCTCATCAGGATTCTGGAGTGAAAGATCAGTAAACTGAGGGACAAAATCCCCTTCGTTGTTACATCCTAGAAAGATTCAAGAAGGGTAATCATACCTTGGTAAAAGCAGAGAAACATCTTCATAAAAAATACTGGTTTATATTTTCATTGGATTTAAGAAAATATTCCATTGTGTTTCCTATTATATAAATTTAAAATGTATCTAATACACTTCCCAGTGTTCCGCACTTTTGATAAAGACAATGATAGCTGCATCAGTGTGGTGGAATGGGTAGAAGGCTTATCAGTATTTCTTCGGGGGACATTGGAAGAAAGGATTAAATGTAAGATTTATCTGTATGCTAGTATTTAGTAGTAATCATTGAATTCATGACTATTAAATTACACATTGATTTTGTTATAATTTAGTAGTTACTCTTATAAAGTATTTGTTAATTGAAAAGTTTTCTTTTGTATAGTTTAATGCAATGAAACTGAGTTCTGAAATGGCTTTTCTGAGACAAAGGGTTTTCTGTGTAAACTGGCCTTATCACAGCTGCCACGTTATTTTGTTGCTTACGAAAACCAGCATTTGAACTAAAGATTGTCCTACAATATACAGTTTTGACAGGATATGTGGTTTTGTATTCACACCCAAAACTAGAAAGAAGCAGATGTAGCTCAAGGGTGATTTTGGCTAAATAACACGATCTGAAGCCAACCGAGACCTGTGCCAACATTCATTTACTGGCACAATGAGGGGACAGCAGCAGTTGCATTAATTCCAGCAGCTGTTCAGCTTGGAAGCATAGATGGAAAAACTGAGTCTGTTTATAAGATGGTCATAAGAACCTCCACAGTAATGATGGAGAAAGATAGGGGAGAAAAAAAATAGCAAGAACTCTAGAATTTTAAGAAGCAGAAAAAAAAATAGGATATGTGGGGAAAAAACACTTAATAGAAAAAGGAGAATGACAGCCTGGTGTTCCCATAGTTCCTAGGTTGCAGCATCAGCCATCCCTAATGCAACTATATAAATTTATCTGGAAGGTGGCCTGGGATGTCACAGCACTAGGATGTGTGCCCAGATGTAATTCAGTATGTCAGTACAACTACAAGCAGTAAAATGTGCAGCTCTGCTGTAAGCACTATAGAATGTACTAGTGCATAGTGATACACAGTGTTGTCTGTCATAAGTACATTTTTTCACTGTAGACATAGTCTTTGTCAGGAAAAAAAAATCCTCTTATGTTTCAAAACTGAAGAGGTTTGTTTGTTTGTTTAAATACCTTTTGTGAAGGATAGTAACGTTTATTATGGTCTTAGATTTCTGATTCCAGGAAAGTAGAAACAATTAGAAGAGGAATTAGGCAGATACTCAGCCTTAAAATACTGTGTTACAGGGATTTTCTGTTTGCATTAAGGGATACTTCGGTTGTCTTTTTCATGCTAGTACAGCTCATTCTTCCTTTTCCTTTACTTTTCTAACTCCGCTTCTGAAATAACGGGGACGTTATGCTGTACAACATATAATTGACATTTTCTGTCTATAGGTAACAGATAGCTTTAATGGTGTGTGATATAGTTTGTATGAACTTTAAATTGATTTATCTTTCAAAAAGACTGTTTTGAGGTTTACGACCTGAATGGTGATGGATACATTTCAAGAGAGGAAATGTTTCAAATGCTGAAAAACAGCCTTCTCAAACAACCATCAGAAGAAGATCCTGATGAGGGAATTAAGGACTTGGTAGACATAGTGCTGAAGAAAATGGCAAGTACTTACTCATTGTGATACTTGAGTGTCTTTCAAACATTCATTAACTGAACCTTAGAACATTCCTATGAGGTAACAAAATACTGTGTCTGTTTTACAGTGGTATTTTGAGTCACAGAGTTAGTTACGTACTTGCAGTGAACAAGTCTCCTAAGGAAAGCCAGCAATATAATCCAGATCTAATGAGTCCCAGTCCAGTATCCTTATGTGAAACTGTTAATTTATTATATGAATGTATTATAAACTTTATGTACAAACTAACATGTGTATGTGTGCATACAGCTATCTGTATGTCCAGTCAAAACAAAAGCCCAGTCAAAAGTCTAAAATTCAAAAGCAGAAGCTGCATTTGTTCCAGTGGGAGGCATCTGCGGTAGCTTTATTATTAAGTACAGTTGTGTTTTATCAATTGATCAAATGTCTTTAGCCAATTTATATACTGTATTAGAATAGTAACCTCAAGGTTATTAATGTAAAACTTTTCTTACCTTGATTAATCTAAGATGTCCAGATCAGTCAGGGACTGTGTTTCAACATTTTCATCAAATCAAGAAATATAACCTCCCCTCCTATGGTGGTGTTTGAAATCTCACCTAAAACCGGGTCTTGAATCCCAACTCCTTTTATTTAACCCCTTCTTTTCTATTTTTCAAACCCACCCCATTTGCATACCCTCAGCTGAAAGGTCCATCTTACTATTTGTTCTTGACAATGCCGAGTCTAGTCTCACGCAGAAAGCAAGCTATGACTCAGCAATTTGTTAATCTTTGGAGCACCTACATGCTCAGCTTTCCTGCAGGTTGCATCCAAAATGAGCAGCCTCATGTCCTGGGCAGTTGTTAAGTGGGCTGTGCTAATCCAAGCAGAAGTGCTGTGCTCTAGACAGAATGAATTTTCATATATGTAAGAATATATTACAAACTAATCATGTACATAATCCTGTTTCAGCTTTTCCAAGAGAACTTAATAAAGCTCTGAGGAAAGTCCAGATCTGATTTGGCTGCTGGGCAGTTGTCCAAGTAGGATATTGCTGCCCATCTCAAATAACTAAACAACTATTAGATACCCAAAAACGCATTTGTGGAGTCCGTCACTCAAAGACGAAAAAATTACTCTTGGGGCAACTGCCTGTAGGTACCATGGCATTGTGACTAAGCATATGTCCAGTCCCATGATACTGTTTTCATACTTAAAAGTATTTGTAATGAACATGCTCATGCCTTGCTCTCCCTTGTGCTGAGGAATGTAAAAGGTAGAGGGTACCCAGCCACTTTTGTTTCTCTTCAGCATCCAGCAGCAGGTTTTCCTGTTTGGGAATCTCTGTCTGCATAGCTCCTTGCTTCTGATTTTCTGGCCGTTAGAACCTGTGCTCCCTGCATGTTCACCAGCTATGGTGGTTCCATGACTTGATCTTCAGAAATTTGGAGCTGGCCCTGTGCCTTGAACATTAATCATATCCACCCATCAATCTTCACTTAAAGCCTTTATTTTATATGGTTTAAAGAAGTACTTATGCTCACCGTAGCATTTGTTGGTGTTTTAAGCCACATCAGTAGAAATAGGTTTTCAAATTGCAGAAATTCTAAAAACACAAGGATGCTTTTTCTACCCCCAGAGGAATATTCTGCTATGCTGAGACTCTGCAGTACAAAAGACGTGGGCTGGCGTCAGCGTACTCCACCATATGCTTCTGGGTGCTGTACGTGAAAAATACAGGGCAGAAGCATGCCTGCTGTAGAAACTACTAGGGTAAAGTATTTCCAGCCTCATGAATAGGCTGTAGGTGCACTCATGATGTAAATACGTATACAGAATATATCCTAACATCTTCTCCTACTTTTAAGTCTCCTACTTTTACTTTATCTCAGTGCAATTCTGCTTGAGGTTTGTCCATACAATTCTCAGCTCAGCCTCTTCCCACGTTAAAGTTTTGCCTTCTCTACAATTTGGTTAGCAAAGCCCTATCAGGTTGCTTCACCTTTTATGCTTTAGGTAGAGACTGACGGCCCAAAGACCATTATTTTTGCATACAATGAAACTAAAAATAGAATCCGTGTCAATAAAACACCTGTTAAACAAAAATCCAGTTACTACAAGTAATCATCCTTTGCTGAAGCATTCTGTTCCCTTCCTTTTGTAGGACTATGATCACGACGGCAGGCTTTCTTTTGTGGACTTTGAAAAAGCAGTGAGAGATGAAATTCTTCTCTTAGAAGCCTTTGGACCATGTTTGCCAGACATAAAGGTACATCCTTGAGTTTAAAAAAAGAGTGCAATGCTTCCTGTACTGTTGGTTAGAAGATATACATATTATGGTATTGTCATTACACGGGGCCTGCTGATGTCAACTGATAAGTGCTTCAGGTGTGCTACACACACACTGAGTCCCTGTCTACCTTTCACAGCACTGGTGTTTCCTTATACAAACACTGGTACCAGAGAATACAAGAACACACTGTTACTCAGCGTTTGTCTGTCCTGGGGCAGCAATATTATGAATGATCCTCAATGAGCACCCTCTCAGACTAAGAAAGTGAGACCACTCTCTTGAATTGCTTATGTGAAAGCTCTCCAGGAATACAACTTTTACTTTTCTTTCTTCAGTGCCCCTGTCAGCTGATGGCAACACTGCCTACACTTCACTTGTGGCCTCTTTTGAGAGAGGCTGGTAACTTCCTGAAAAAAGTACCTTGAGAGTGTTCATCTGAGTGTGGCACTGCTGTGTTTTAATTGCATCTAACTGGGCTTTATTTATTAGCAATACATCTAATTCAATTCAGATTTTTTTTTTTTGGAAGACGGTACTTTAGAACATGCTCATTTCCTCAGTGTTAAGTTCAACTGTGGAAAGGTTTCCTGCTCTATAATTTTTTCCTAATCCAATAATCATTACTCTATTTGAACTGTGTGTCATTTTTAAATACTGAAAGTTGTGTCTTCATAAAGAAAAACAAAATTCTGAAATACATGCAGTGAGTCCTAGAAACAGCAAAGTCGTGTAAAACTGCTGAGAACAGGACAAGCTTTCATTTGCTGGAAACCTACACTTCCTGCTAGCTCACCTGCCTGGGGGCTGGAGGACAGGGAGGAGTCTGGCAGCCTTGATTGCAGGCTGTCTTACACCACATTAGCTGCAAAGCAGCTGCTCCCAAAATGCCAGACTTCTCCTGGCAGGCAGTCAAGACTTCCAAGGGTTTGGGGAAACCCAGGTAAGTATTTTGGTTTTTACAGCAGTGAAAATGTTTTACAAAGTTTCTAAACAAAATTACATTCACTAATCAGCATAGAAAAATTATTTGGTTTCTGTCAGTGTTGGTGATAAAGCAGGTATACAATTCAGGTTAATAATGGCAGGAGGTGGAAAACTGAGCTTGTTTCTTGCCCTCTGTTCTGTACTCTGACCAACTGCTGACTTTTTACTAGGTCTCTAGTTTCACTGTTAAAAGAGAACTCCATTTACATGCACTTTCAAGCTCTAAAAGCAATAAATACATTTCAGTTATGAGCTTTGCAGGAAGAAAACCTCTTAACTTGCTAGATTTCCCAGTGGGGTTACACAGGGGAATTTTAATTGTACCACCTGACACAAACACTCATTTGTATTGAAATGTATTTCAAAAAAATGTAAGAAACAACATATTGGACAGAGTTCTACCACCATAAGCGGTTCTACAAGGAGCCTGCAAAGATGTGCTGTGAGCTGATGCCTTAGATACGTTTGTACCAGACCCAATCCTGTGAGCATCAGCATGGGGCACCTGGCTCCAGCACTGGGTTCGTGCCCACAGCACGGGTTCTGCTGCCCCACGGTGGCCCCTGAGCACTCCCACTCCAGGGTTGTTACAACACAGTGCTGCGGGGAGTTATCACTTCACCAAGGGAAACGCCCCTCTTTTCCATTAAGACAGCTCAGTCTATGGCACTCCTTCTTCCAGCCAGTTTAACTCCTTCTGCAGCTGGGCCTTCTTGCCTCCATGCCAGATCATTCCCTGGTCACACATTACTGCTGCTGAGTGGTTACAATTTGAATTTCCCCTTCAATTATAACTTTGAATGATCTGACTGGTCTCTCGGTGATGACATCATTAATGCTACAGAATGTACCTTTTCTAGGCTAAAAAGGCAAGAGGTAGCCTAAGTGCAAGTACTGTCACTGCTTACAGCTTTCAGTTTAGCATCTTTGCCAAATAAATTTAAATCATTTAGTTAATTGAAGATTTTTCTGTTTTGTTTTTTTTTTTTGTTTGTTTGTTTGTTTGTTTGTTTTTTGTTGTTTTTTTTTTTTTTTCTTTTTAACAGAGCAGTATGGCATTTGAACAGAAAACTTTCCGGGAAACTCGTAGACTGTAACTCTAAGTGGAATACTGTTGGAAAGGTTTTTTCTTCACCATTCTTCGTGGTATAGTAAAAATAGGAGCAACTTGAAACTATTACTAAGTTTCAATATTCCTTTACTGTAAAAGCTACTGAATAAATAGAATTTACTTCTATTACTCTATCTAAATACAGTTCTTCAATAATTTATGAAATATGGTATAGTACGAGGTACACAGGACAAGACAGTAACAACCATATATTATACTGGTTTGTTCATTCCAAGAAACAAATTGATACAATTTTTAACAGGGAATGGCTTGAAAATACAGTATAAAATAGTTTTATTTTTTTATATTAAAAAAAAAATAGGTATTTTAAACTATATCCTTTAGAAAAGGACTGTTGGAAGATGCTGCCAGCAGTATCTATATTCTTCTTCTCTGCTTTACAAGTGGTTTGGCTGAGCTACACTCTGGGCTTTCCACAGATGTTCTTGAAACAGAATCTGCTACCTAAATTGGGGAAAAAAAAAATGCTTAGTAAACTGTAACCAATCCCTTTTTCTATGCTTGTTTTAGAGCAAGGCCATGTTTCCAACATTTGAGTATTGGGAGGGATGTATTACTCTAATCGCACTAGTATTGAATTTTCATGCAGAAGGTGGGAAAAAAGAACACCAAAGGCAGCATTAAACACAACAGAGGTAAAACTCAGGAAACCCAAGAGCTAGCAGTACTGCTTTTGTATTTTAACCACACAAACTGATTTGAGGTACTCGGAGACAGAGTGTTACCTATCTTATCACCCCTCTCCCTACCAGAGGTGTTTTCAAAGTAAGGTTTAGTATGCTTTTTAAACTCAGGTATTTCAGGAAGGGAAGGGAAAGGAAAACAAAAATGTGTGCTTTGACACATATTTTAGACTTTTATTTAATATAAGGGGTGCTTATTTATCAATTTGACTGGAGAGAAGATCTTTCAAATCAGTCTAGTTAGAGTCAAGGGAGCTTTTTCATATCTTAATTAAAATGGAAAGTTGTATCAGGAGTGTTTGACCTGCTAATTGATTAATATCCTGTATAAAAGGTTACATAACTTAAGACATGCTTCTTGGCATAGAATTTCTGGTTCTGTACATCTTTTAATGCCATAAGAAGTGTTGGAGCAAAATTACATTGAACTCTGACTTTTTTTTTTTTTTTCTCACTCCCTTTCAGTCAGAAACCAGACACAAGTACCACACTGGAATCAGCAGGACTATCTCCAAAGTTATCATGCCTCCCCACATTTAAAAAAAAAAAAAAAATAAAAAAAATAAAATTGTAGTTTAGTGAGAAACATTTAGGACCATGCACTGACATTTATACTTTCTGAAGTATAGTGTAAAAGATATGGAATAGAATGGCCTGCAATATTCTGCATTATGAAAGAGTTAAATAGTAAGAACACTAGCCTTAAGTGGCAAATAAACTGACAATACTGAATAAATGTTGAATTAAGTTATCTTGGGGTCTTCTGTTTTTATGGATAGCACACACATATGTATGTTTCAAAATGAAAATATCATAACTTTCAGAATCCATACCTCTTTTAGTTTATTTCGAATTAATGTAGCTGAAGCATTCAATGAATCATCATCCATATCCACTTTAGGTATTTCTGGTAGCTGTGGACCAATAATGACTTCGGTATTGTCTGCACTTGTTCCAATGAGGGAAAACTTGTTACCTTCTTCCCTCTTCCTCTTACGTTCTTGCAGGTGAGTTGTACGAGGCATAAACCTATCAACTCCATTATCAATCGGAACAGCTCTTTGCTGCATTAGGGAAGTTGTTGGAGTATGTCCTCCTGGATGTACACTCGCAGTTAGGGATGTGTTCTGACCAAAGTACCCAGAAGTTTCACCACAACTGTTGTCATGAGGAAGTGTCAGCAGGCTCTGAAGATGATTCCCAGATGGATGCTCTATGTTGAGGGATACCCCGTGAGAACTCCTGAAGCTGGATGGATCCCAGTTACTGGCTGCACATGATCTTGCTGCACTCCATGGACAGTCGTGCTTGGAGTTCTCTGAGCCTGTCTTCTTAGGCCCCTCTATCTTCTTTAACACAAAGCAATCTTTAAAACAACAAAAAAGTAGCTTCACTATTTTATGCCATTATTAGTTCTAACACATAAGAAAAACATATTTAATACAATTACAGAAGGAATACCAGTGATATTTCAGTCGCAGCCACCTTTCTGTGATTCTTTTTTCTTAAGTGGCATCTTTCAAACTAAAGTTTTTCAGCCTAGTCCCTCTGCCAGTTTGTGAGGAATGCCTATGCAGAAGTATTTCAACAATTTTCAGAACACAAGGAAAATATTTATAATGTTGCAAATCAGTGATTTTTACCTCTAGTTATGATTTCAAGAAAAATAGGCTGCCTTGCAACTGAAAAAAAGTTGTTTTGATGTTAAAAAAAAAAATCACATAATTTTACTCCCTTTAAATATCCTCATGAACTATTCATCCAATGCATAATGGTATCAAAGTACATAAGCACAAGAAATTCAAAGCTTGAGCTCAGCAATGTGCTTATTTCTTAGCTTGCCCAGCCTTCAGTGCTGCCTGGGAACTCTGCAGTACAGTAACCTTTGTAAACCCAGTCCATTCTTAGCATTCCTCCAGTGTAGGTTGGAGAAACCTTTTGTTGAAGGGTCTGGCATAGTCACTTCCCTTACAAAACTGTCCCTTTGGGCATGCCTGAATAAATTGGAAGAAGGGTGAAAAGATAATCCCAAATTTCCTGCCAGTGCTTCAAATTCTTGGTAACATTTTGAAAAGAAAAAAAAAAAAAGAGTAAGAAATACTTCATTATTGAAGCTTAAGCAGTTCTTTATTTTAGTGTTAACCAAAAGTGAAAAGTTGCTTTGAAAAAGATACAGTCCTCTAAATATTTTAAGATTTCTCCATTCTGATACAAACAAAATGCATCTTTAAAACAGCTAAATAAAAAGCATTTTCTTTAATGGGCACTTTGACCAAAATCCCACCCACCCCTGAAGTAAGATGTTAAGATTCTATAGGAAATTTTAATTACAAACCTCTTTGATTCGTTGCTTTTGCTATATACTTTCTTCTGTCCTGCAACTTCTCCCTAGTTTCTTGGACTGTTTCAAATTCTGGAGCGTAGCACACATGTAGCAAACTACCAAAGAAACTTCGTTCATCCATTTTTTTCTTGGCCACCCTGAAAGGAATTAAATTGTATTGGCAAAACTGAGGACTTGACTTCAACTCTCTTGTAAAGAAATAAGGTGTAGAAGATTAAGACAGCGAGAGGCAGCTATTGCCCTGTCCAATACCTTGCACATTGCAGTTTCTGGTATTTTATAAGATAAACTTCAGTAAATTGCTCTGCTGGATATTCATCTAGAGCATGATACTCTTCAATGGCACCATATAATGCAAATTGTTCAACCAATTCCTTCATAACACCCAATGCAGGAACTCCTTGTATTAGTAAATAACGAGATTCCAAGTTGATAGTATAAACCTGTGGGAAAAAAAAAATATTCTAAAATGTTCACATTCTTGCTTTGCTGCAAACATAAGGAATTTTTTGTTTTCTCTTGTTCCTCAAATCCTCTCAGGATGCTGAAAATCTGTCTGTACCCTATTTTGACTTTGGACTCTTGCAGGAGCAGTAAGCGCAGTTATCTGGGTGTTCTGGGTTGAGTAAGTGGTGGAGTTTTTTGGTGGCAGGGGAGGGGGCAATCGGGGCGGCCCCCTGTGAGAAGCTTCTCGAAGCTCCCCCAGCTCCACGTCAGCTCCACTTCTGTTTGGGAAGTTGAGCCAATCAGCTGCGCCTCTGCGATAACGTATTTAAGAAGGGACGTGGTGACGGGCAGCGGGACTTGTGAGGAGGAGTTGCTGCAGCTGCATGAACACCAAGGTCAGTGGGGGAACGGAGGAAGAAAGGAGGGGGGAGGTGTGCTGGAGCAGAGGCCCCCCTGTATCCTGTGGTGAGACAGCAGGGCGGCTGCCCCCCCTCCCCCCCCCCCCCCATGAAGATCTACGGTGGAGCAGACACTGATTTACAGCCTGTTGTTCCTGCTCGTCTGATCAAGGTTCTGTGCCCGAAGAAGGCCGGGGTCTCGTGGGAAAAGGCAGCCCCACTGCTGTAATTCAGCGCTGGGAGGATTGCAGCATGCGGGGGAGTCCCACGCCGGAGCAGCTCGGGAAGGGCTGCAGCCGTGGGAGGGAATCCAGTCGGAGGAAGTTAGTGACCCATGATGGAGCAGTGTGGGGAACGCTGCAGCCCATGGGAGGAATTCAAGTCGGAGAGAGTTTGTGGAGGACTGTCTCCTGTGAGAGGGGGACCACGATGGTGCAGGAGGAACAAGTTTCGGACACTCCCCTCACCGAAGATGAAGGAAGTGGCAGCACTGACTGCACCCCCCATTCCCTGCCCCTGTGCCACTGGGGGAGGAGGTAGAGATATCAGGAGCAGAACTGAGCCCGGGAAGAAGGGAGGGGTGGGGGGAAGGTGTTCTCAAGATGTGGCAATGCTTCTCACTGTCCTACTCTGTTATGTGTTGTTAGTGTCTGTAATAAATGTATGGGGTTTTTTTCTTCCCCTAATGAGTCTGCCTTTTGCTCGTGATCATAAAAGGGGGATTTTTCCCCATCCCAGTCCTATCTTGAACCCCAAGCCTGGCTCTCTGTCCCTTCTTATTGCCAGAAGAGAAGGGAGAGAGAGCTGCTGCATTGCGGTTGGCTGCCAATCAGGCCTAAACCACGACACTGGGACATCTTCACTGCGCAGGAACTGAACTCAAGCTTCTTACTCAAAGTAGAACACAAATCAGAGTTGACTATTCTGCACCAGGTCAGAGCACTGCCATTTGCCAAGTAAAATCTCTAAATCTCTAGCCAATTTCCTTGCAAGACTGACTAGTAAGCAGTTAATATGTGGCACTATCAAAATAAAAACACTGAAAAACCTGTTTTGTTCACAGGCAGAAAGGTCACAAAGGTAAAACACAAGGCGGGGGGGAAGAAAAATAAAAGTATGATGATTCCTTGGGGCAGATCATGTGTGTACAAAACTGTCCTCTCACTAAAGTGATCAAGCAGCATACGTTTAAGACAGATACAAGTATGATTCTGAGAGAAACAAGGTCTTCTGGCAGGTTAAAAACCAAACAAATCACTCTTCTGCTTTGTGTGATAACTGTCACGTGACACTGACTCCAAGGAAAGTTCTGTGACAGCTCACTACATGCAATAGGTAGCTAAGCCACAAGATCAAAGAAAACTCATTCTGATTTTGCTAAAAAAAAAAGACAAAAAAAAAAAAAAAAAACAAACAAAAAAACCCCCGACCAAACATTTAGACCACATGAGCTACACATCTTTCTCAAAAAAACCTGCAAATGCAGGACAAAGAAGGAACCACTCAGGAAACCAGCTCCCAAACTGCCATCATAAAATGCGGCCTCTGCAAACAGGCCCCAGAAATTGTTGCGATGGCAGCTCACTCCTACCCGCTCCTTTTCTGAAGGCAGCCCCAGAAGGTGCCATTACAGCACATACATTAACTACGCACACAAAACCAAATCCAGCATCGTTGCTAGTGCAGCGAGAAGCCCCTGCGGTGCAGCAGGCAGGGCCCGCCATGCCGGGCCTTCCCCCCCCCCCGCCTCCCCACGGGCGGGTGGGCCCCCGAGCAACGTGGGAGTCACTGATTTACCAGACCCAACTCCCAACTGTTCCTTCGGTCCCCGCCGCCCGCCTGAGCCCGCGCCCCGCCCCGCCTCGGCAGCGAGGAGAGGAGAATGGAGCGGACAAGCACCGGCGAGGGAGGGCAGGCGGCGGAGCACGGAGAGTCCGGCCGGTGGGCTCCCTGCCCGACCCCGACAAACCGCAGCCGACACCCTCACCAGCGCTAAGGGAGGGGAGGGGGGCCGGACCCGCCGCCGCCGCCCTGACTCGGACTCGGGCTCGGGCTCCGGCCCCACCTTCACGGCGCGCGGCCTCCGCCCCTCTCGGTACTTGGCGCGCGACTCGCAGACCCCCAGCTGCGCGTGGTGCTTGCAGGCATCGCCCAGCCCGCCACCGCCGCTCCTACCGCCGGCTGCCATCTTCCCACCAGCCGCCGCGCCTCACGCAGGCAGCGCTAGCTGCTCGCCGAGAGAACAGCCCAATCAGGCAACGGACGGCATCCTCCTTGGCTCCGCCTGAGGGGGAAATCGACGGAGTCGGCAAGAGCCGAAGCCCTCGCTAGAGGAGCCAATCAGAGGCAGGCAGCGGGTACCTGCCGCGCCCGCATTGGCCGGCAGCGAGCCGTACCATTGTCTCGGGGGTGGCGGGGAGGAAGACAGGGGGATTTCGGGAAGGCCCGGCCCGCCCGCCTCCGAGTAGGCAGCTCCCCGCGCGGGTGGAGCGGGCGCGGCGCCGGCATGTGGGGCAGCGGCAACCCCGGCGGAGGGGGAGCTGGAGCCGCCGCCGCGACGGTCGTCTTGAGCGGGACGCGGGACTGCTTCCTGCACTTGCCTCCCGAGCTGGCCTCTCGCCTCCGCCTGCAGCAGGTACCGGTTCGACCCCATTCGGGGCCTGGGCGGAGGGACGACTCACTCGGAGAGGATTATGGGAGAGCACCATCTGCTTTCCCCCACCCCCTCCGGCACCCCGTTGCTATGGTGACACAAAGAGCCCTCCTCCCTCCCCATCCCCAGCTGCCGTGTCGCAATGGTGACAGAGCGCGCCAGTCTCCCCCTCCATTTGGGGGGGACGCACCTTCCCCCCCACACACACCCACCCGCACACCCGGAGCCGCGGCTGCTTTGGGCCCGTAGTAACGGGGACACCCCCCCCGCCCCTCGCGGCGCCTCGGGGGGGCCGGGTCGCGCGGGAGCCGCCCCGTGGCGTCACCCGTTCTTCGTAACAAAATGCGGAAAAGGTGGGAATTCATCTGCCAGCGCAGCCTTTCGCTGCTGGCATCTGCGCCGCGCTCGGCGCTGTGTATTTTACCCGGTTTTCACAGCAGCATTAACCGAATAACGTGTAAGTTAATCTTTCAGACAGGAGGTAGGGTGGCAAGCCCAAGCAGAATCCTCGTTCTTGGTGTACGTAAGCCTTTCGCTATATCCTGTACAGAAAGGGACTCCCGTCATGAAAAGTCCTGTTAAGTACATGGATCAGTTGCAGTCAGTGCACTTTAGATTTTAAATCAGGTTTCACACGTGAAGACAAGAGCAAAGCCTGCGCGTGTCCCTTGGGCAATGAAGATGAGAATTAAGGATGGGCCAGCTGAACAGAGAGGATGAAAACTGGCGAGAATGAGCGGGTGGGGAGGAGGAGATGGGAGCAAAGCTCAGGAGTGGAGGTGGCGGGGACAGTCCTGGGGTAGAGCCCCTCTCGGCCAGGCTGGCCTCGCCCGGTGTGTGTAACGTGCTGCTTCCCCAAGGTCAAAAGGGACATTTCACAAGAGCAAAATCACTTGTATAAACCTGCTCTTTTTTTCTTTGGGGTAGTAGAAGAAGGTTGGTGAGGTTGCAAGAAACCCAGCATAAATCTGAGCTTCATTTCTGCTATGGTTTCTGGACGTTTTACAAACTTGTTGGCAACAAAGAGGAAAAAGGAGTGTAATTGCTTTGAAGTCATGTAGCATCATTCTGTATATAATTGCTTATGGCAGGCTCCTGCTTTTACTTAATGTGAGCTGCAAAATGAAAACATATGATTTCCAAAATCTTGATAGAAATAGCATATTAAATGCAAACTCTTTAATAAAAGTGTTAAAAAGGGGATAAATAATTACGTTAATTGATTACACTGAGTAAATCATTGAAAAACTTAAATGGAATGAAAAGCTAATTGCAGAAGGTAATAGATAAGTAGATGACAAAATGGTATATGAAACTCAACACTGTGAAGATTACGATATTTGGTCAGAGGCTTTATTTGGGTGAATACAGGGAGGAGCTGTAAATTAAATATTACGTTTGCTAAAAGGATCTTGGAACCATTGTAGATATTCTCTGAAAATGTTTTCAGATTTACAAAAAGTCAAATAATATTTGAAATTATTAAGATACAGTTGAGAACAAAACAGAAGACATCACTATGTTAACAAGTGAGTCTGTGGTATATCCACAGTGGACATTGTTGTGCTCACTTGATTTTCATAAAAATAGTAATTAAAATACAGAAAATGTCAGTTGAGTGATACAATGTAGGATATAGTCTTTTTATATAGAAACTAACTGAACATACTAAAATTTTTCAGTTTGGAATCAGAATAGCCGAGCAGTTCTGTAACAGATTGATAAAATCGTTTTGGTCTGAGTTTATGTGATTTGTGACTTATTTTAAATATTCCCCAGCTCATGAAAGCACTCTTAGAGTCCATGCAAATGTTACAATTACATGTGAAGTTTAAGCATATTCTTATGTTTTTTCCTCATTTGGGAAATATAAATGCAGAGTTGTACATTTCTAGAAGGCATTTGTTTGATAGACTTTAACACAGAAGAAGGGAAGAGGGATTATTTTTCTTACTTAAAAATAGTCCATAAAAATTAAAAGCTGTTTGACACTTGAAACCAATATGCACTTCTATGTTGAGAGTTGTGCAAATAGTGTTTGTGGAGAAGAATTATAAAGAAGGTCTTCATTAGTAAGAAGCTGGTCAGTCTGCCAGAATTAAAAAAAAAATTCTATCATTGCTAATGGAAACACCTTTTACTAACGTGTTGTAAATGCTGCAAGGTATTGTTAGGGAATATTGGTTAAAATAGGACCTGTAAAATCCATAAAATATTTTCAATTCCTTTGATCTCTCTAATCAAATTCAGTTTAGGTTGACTAATCTTATTTAGCTTGATTGATGTTAACTCATTTTATTTCTTTGGAACTTATAGGGCCAAGCTGTGAAAGTATCCTGTGGTCATCAGCCTATATTTTTGAGCTGGATGGAAATCAGGCATCGAGGTCACAAGGGTGAAAATGCAGAGATTAACAGACAGTTAGCAGAGAAACTTGGCATTGCAGATGGAGAACAGGTTTGAAATGCATTTTTTTCTTCTTTAAGTAAAGAGTGTATTGCAAGATACCTGAAAAGGTAATAATTTACAAGTTAGCTATGACCTTCTTGTTTCATCTATTTTGACAGTTACTTCATTTATATCTGCTCATAAGAAAACTTAACCATCATGAAATGTCTCACACATGAAAAGATTTGCTCATTAAATCATTAACAGTTGCCTAAATAATGTTAGGATGAGCTTGTGGGTAGGTCTTTGCAGGGTTGGAGCCACTATTTGCAGTGCCATTAATTTTAGGAAAATATACTTTTAAGCAATTAAATAATTTGGGAATTATCTCACAAGAATATTTTCCCTGAAGTTCCTGTTATTTTAAAGTAATTGTTGACTTACTGCATATTTCTTCTTGTTTGACTTATTTGGGGTTTAAATTTTCATCCTTTGTTTTTCCCTCCTCCACCATAAGTCCCCGTGTGTCCTCTCTCTTTGAATGTGTATTTAAATTGGCCTCTTACTCTTGGACATTCTGTTAAACTTCTTGTAAATGATTCTTTCATTGGACAGAGGTTGAAGAGATGCCCAGGGGTCAGGACAGAGCTTTCTGACATGGGACTATTAAAATATCGACATCCAAGATGTTTTTGGTTTTTTTTTTTTATATTAACAGGTAGAGATTTTAACAAACAAGAATAGAAAAGTATTACTCCACACAGTATTACTGTGTAGTATATTCACATACACTTGTTCTCTCGTATGGAAAATTTTATTCAGCATAATAGAAGATATCAAAGAATGTGGCTCAAAGCAGTGTATTATCTCGTTTACTTTTTTAGCATATTCTCTCTATAAATTATGTCTTTATTTGCAGAACTTTACTGACTCTATTTACTAATTCACTGGCAAGGTAACTACCCTTTATTGTTCTACCAATTAATGGCCTTCAACAGAAAAATGATTGACAAAGGAAACTGAAGAAAACCTCATCCAACTTGCCTGAAAATAATCCTCTGTACAATTGAATGAATAAATGAATAATTAGGTAGTTTTGCCATTGTTTTGGATTCAGGAATTGCATGCTTGCTGTGTTTCATAATAATATGCTCTTCTAATTACTGTGTTGGGGAAAGATATTCCTCTCAAATTCTGCTTCAAACGGAGGACCTAGAGAAGTTTTAAATCAATTGTTACTTTTATAAAAGCTGACCTGAAATAAATCTCTCTCAGAGAACAGGTAACTAGTTTTCTCTCAAGAAAAATTTAATGAAGCTTATCTAAAAGTGTATGACATTATATTGTTTGAAAATTGTTACTTTCTGTCCGGTGGAACCTTTGGTAAAAATTGACTTTTGAAATATATGTTTAATGCTTTCTGAAAGGCCTGAGCCACGATAGCTTTTATCATTCCTCCTGATACACAGGACCTTGAAACTGTTCTGTGGAAGTGGGGCTGCTTCCTGTGAAACCATTCATAAAGGAGCTAGTTTTGCTTTTGTATTGTACTTTTTCTCCATTTTTTCAGCTGTTTCTGCCCTATGTAAATTTGTGCACAACTCAATGAAGTTTTCGTCATTCTAAAGTCCACAACATTTAAAAATAAAAATTAAAAAATGTAGATATGACTGTATGATCAGTATCCACTAAAAATTGATTGATTGTTGTCAGCTGATAAACCTCTTGATGCTTTTCACATTTGCTTCCATTCATGGTTTACTGAAATCCCCAAGCGTGCAGAATGCAGTCCATTTTCAATCTGTTTGACATCTGTCTTCTGCTTATAAATTACCCAGTGTCATTACGAAGATGTATGTTCAAAGTAGTGGAAAAGTATGAGGGAGGAGATGTCAGTTTTCTAGTTGAATTAAAGATGGAGCTTTTATATGTTTAAAAATAAAAAGTTAAATATTTTGAAATGGTCCTACTTTTGCCAGGTATTTCTTGAACCCTGTTCCCACGTCTCCTCCTGTCAGCAAGTAGAAGTGGAACCACTCTCAGCAGATGATTGGGAAATTCTGGTAATAAAACCCTTTCTGCTGTTCACGTCCTTTTCTTACAGATGACAGATTCTGACACAAGCAGTTTTTTGCACAATGCCCCATTCTTTTCAGAAATACTATATGTGGTGGGATTTAATTGTATTTTATATTTCAAGTAGTGTATTAGAAAGAGACATAGAGTTTTTATCTTCAAACAAATGTGAAAAATATATGCAGCATTTAATTTATAATATCACATTTCCCCAGGAACTGCACGCTTCCTCTCTTGAAAAACATCTTCTTGACCAGATTCGAATAGTATTTCCAGAAGCCATCTTTCCTGTATGGGTTGAACAGCACACTCACGTTTACATCAAAATTGGTAAGCAATGGTGAAGGCTCCTGTGGCACCTTGAGTAAGCTGTTTTGCAAGAGTGGATGCATTCATTGACCTGCTTTGTTTATACTCAGGTGCACTTACGCCAGCAGCCTCCTATGGGAGATTAGAGCCATGCACGGAGCTTCTGATATGTCCCAAAATACGTGAACTTGGGGAAAATATCACCAGCACACCTTCCACAGAAAGTGACATCTTTCTCAAAAGTTTTGTGAAAAATAACATGGAGCAAGAAGAAACAGTAAAGGATCCTTTTGCCAAACAACCTTACTTAAAGCCAGGAGTCCTTGAACAGAGTAAGGCTGATGCAAACGTGACGTTTGGCTCAAATGTTCTCCCAAATATATGGAATTTCATAGGGAGCATTTTCTCTCATACATCTGAGCAGAAACAAAAGACTTTGTGTGATAAAGATGAAATGAGCACCTTCAGAGACAAGCTGCTGAACTTAATTCACATGGATTCCATTTTTAGAGTGTGTCAGTTCCAGCCTCCCAGCGTACAGAATGCATGCGCCACTCATGCATTTCTGAAATGCAATGCTATTCATGTTTTTCCGTGGAATTTAGAATTTATTGATTTGGATCCAAATCCTGTAGTATCTTATGGGAAAATTAATGAGCTGCTTTCCCCAAGACAGCGTCATCAAGAAGCAAAACAAAATCTGCCATTTGAAAAGCAAAAGCATTTGACTAGTACGCAAGACAAAAATCATTCTAATTCTAATAGCAGTCAAGCATCCAGTGAGGGATCTGTTGTTCAAATCATTTGGAACGGATTTGAAGACCTAAAGAGTGTCATAGAGTATGGCCACAATGGGGAAGCCCTACATGTTGGAAGAGTTTGGGTCAGTTTGAGCACACTATCTTTTGGGCTTCTTATTGGATAAAATTTTCTATTAGATAATTGTGGAACTGGCTAATAAACACGTGGCTTTGGGATATAGACCTTGTGTAAAGCTCTCAAATAGAGTATACTAGAAACAAATAATACTTCCTAGAGCTGTGCTTAACTAAGCTGTCTCATGCTGGACTATGTTACTTACCATCATCTGCAACATGTATGGTATACTCTGGATTTCTGCACCCTCTGCATTTTTGCACCAAATGGGGAAAATTCTTCAGTGATTCTGGAGGGAATTCATGCTTTCTTCAAAATCTGTTGGTAGCCATTGTATTCAAGAGAATGTGAAAGTATCTACTTACATACATTCAGTACAGCATATTGAGATTCTTTTCATCACTTATCACTTTAAAACGTGCTTTGGACTTTTGGTGTCGTCGAACTGTGAATTAATGGGATCACATATCCTAGTGCTACACAATGTTTGCAAGTGCTTTTATATACTCTTTAAATATTAAAAAGCATAATGTGAAATAATTAGCTTTTATATACTTTAAGCTATTTTAGTTTTTATATACTATTTTGCAAGGTGCCACAAGTCCTGATGTGCAGACACTGACAGCCTGTTTATGTTCTTTCTTTCCTGGAAGCACATGTGGGATCAACAAAAATAGATAAAATGCACTCCAAATTTGACTATTTTAACATAATATATTGCTCATTATTCTCCTGTTTTTTGTTTTGTTGAGAATGAGAACAAGAGCCTGCAGTGGTCTTTACCACTAAATCTTTTGAGAGATACAATGATTTTCCAAACACCAGCAACCATAAGGTCTTTTGGACTTAATAAACATTTATGAGAAGTTTTCAGTTTGGATATACATTTAAAATAACACAGAATATTTGAAAATTAGTTTCCTTTTTAAAGAGCAAATTGATTAGTACAATTTAGGGAGACTGGATTTTTTCCCTCTGTACTGCAGATGAGCTTAGTTCTGATCTGTATAATGGCCTATTTAGCTGCCCACATAATTTTAATCGGCAAATGGAAGTACAGTTATTTTTCTCCTACACTAATAGCATGTTTACAACTTTCTAAGAATTTCTGCTAATTGTTTTTCAACCTTTTGGGTTTTATTTAAATAAGTTAGTACATGGTCAGCTATAGTAAGCACTTTCACAGTAGGATAGAACGGAGTTAGAAATGTGCATGAGAGAACAAGATTTGGATACCACCATCCATTTTATGGTTTTCTTCTTAATTCTCTTGCAGGTTACGTAATTAATATACAGATCACTGATCAAATGTAGAGGTTCTATTAGTGATGAAGAAACTGATGTTTTGCTATATATACAATGTTATAACTATCTTACTTTCTTATATTTCTTTTCTCTTTGCTTTTATTTTAAATGTTTCAGATTCCAGATGGTCTGAGAAAAAAACTACAAATCGAAATACATTCAACAGTCCGAATTAAGTCAGTTGAATCTGTTCCTAAAATTCCTATATCTGTTAGACTGCAACCCAAACAGAACTTAGTGAGTTGATATTCTTGGTCATGTATTTGTTTACGTATTGGAAAACTGATAATGTTGCTCTGGTCAAAGTTGGGGTTTTTTCAATGTTTATTTGTTAAATGATAGTTAGAAGTTGTCTGCTATGTATGACATCATTCCAAAGCAATTTCTTTTTTGAATAATTCCTTGCTTTTTACTATACAAGTCATTTAAATTAAGAAGATGTTATGATTCACTTAAACAAGGCTTATCTAGTAATACTATTTTGTATTTTGATCAGCGGTACCATAAACATCAATCCACTGAATTTTATTTTGCACTTGGTAAATATTTCAAATAGTTTGGCATGCTATCTGTAACAATTTCTTATTTAAAGGACCTGGCAGAGGTCACAAAGGGTGGAGGAAATAGAACTTCTGAATTTTAACTCCTAGCTACTTGAAGCTATTAGAGGAAATCAGTATAGTAACTTGTAAATCACAGGGTCTTCCATTATTCTCAAAATTTCTGATGTCTTTCTTATTAAAAAGGATGTTGACGTCATGCAGAAGAAATGGCATTGGTCAGGAAAAGATGCATTAGCTGTTTAATTAGGTCTCAGATATGAACAATTCCTCTCAAAATAGCAACAATAATCAGTAATAATTTTGCATCAGACCTTCATCTGCAGTACATTAATATGGGTTCCAACATAGCAAATCTTAAGTGTGTACATGTAGTTCTATAAAAACAAAACCAAAAAAGAATCATAGAGCTAAAGAGGAAATACCCATTTTAAGTCTTATGGGAGAAGACATGCTTATACTCTTCAAATACAATGCCCAGTGGATTTCCTAAGACAGACAATTTCAGTAAAATTATTATAATTTTTTATGTGGTTTATGTTTTTGCTTCCTTTTAGTGCTGATATTTTTTTCCCTCATGCTAAAGATTTAGTTTTCTAGAGTTGTATCATTGAATCCCTCTATATTTTTCCTGTGAGACATATCCAGTCTTCTGAGTGAGGATCGGTGACAGTAAGAACTTACTTTGTACCAGTTCTCACAGTCTGTCAGATCTCTGGAATGATGTATTTCTTCATAACGTACCATATGCTTGCTTCTGTGCAACACTGGATTGATTATTTCTTGTGTTAGCTGCCCCTCAAAACTTTAAATACAGCACTTCCTATCATAGCGGGGCTTATGCGTAGTTTGTTTTTTATCCCCAGTATTCTATTTTTGGTTTCTTACCTACAGAAGAATGGATGAACTGCATTTTTTTTTTTTTATGTTGGAGTTAAAAGGCTATTCTGCCAGTAGTTTGCTAAAATCGTACATAGTTATGTGTGCCATTATATATCTTAAATACAGATTTCTCCCTTTCTAGTTCAGCTGAAGTTTTCTTAGTTCTTGGAACAAACCATACAAACAGAAAGAAATATGACAGTAACTTTCATTTTACTTTCTGAACACTGCTTCCATGATCTCAGTTGATTCCCACTTTTTTAGACTAGAATTATGCTTCTGTGATTAGGAACTCAGCCGAGGTATGTCTGACGTAGACACAATTTCTTTTCCTATTCCATTTGTCCAGGTGATCTGGGTTAAGTTGTTTGACCACTTTACCCGCCTATTGAAGTTTGTTGTTGGTGCCCCTGATCTAGATGAGCCCTGTCTTCTTTGTATAGGAAGCAGAGTATACAGGGAAGAGAGGGGCATGGTGAGCACCCAAAATAAGTCACAGGTCAATACTGGTGCATATCTTGGGTGCTCTTTCAAACCCAGGAGCTGAGTAATGCTCTTGGATCTGGCAATGCAGATAAGTGAAAGAAGAATAAAAGCTTTCCGTTGCCCTTACACCAGTGTTCCAAAGATAAAATCTTTAGAGGTGCTGGAAGATTCAACTGTTGCTGTAGCAAGGGCTAGACGGGTGCTTTACATAGAGCAATTGATAGAAATAGTGTTTGTTGGCAAAATGTTATTTTCTATATAAATAAAACTTATATCTTCTTCCATCTCTCTGCTACCGTAAGAGAAGCAAATGCCTCACGTATAGGAAGAAAGCAGTTTTACTTACTAACACCTTGTTTTGTTTAATTTCCTTCTTTCTTTTTTTTTGTATTTAGCATAAAGATATACATGAAGATGATGTTAAATCTGCTTTCAGTTCTTGGCTGCAGGATTCTGCTACTGATGATCTCCCGTGGGTAATGACAAGCACAGACTATATACATCTGTCTGTTAAAGACGGTAAGGATAATACTGTCCTGTGTTGTAGCTGTCTTAACTGTCCATTATGGAATTTACTTAGGCAATATGCCCTCTAATCTCTGTATACACCATTTGACGCAACAGGTACCTCTTTACACTGAAACTGTAAGCATGAATTATTCTTTAATAATGATTAATCTTTACTATTCTTTCATTTTGGATTATATTGTAGTAATTCAGATTACATAATATGTTTCATCTTACGAGGAATAAAACCTGAATTTACTTGGAATTTTAATAGTTGTTCCTTGGATTTTTACAGGAGTGGAGGAGTTTTTCCTTAGTGTAGTGGATCCTGCTCACACTGAAGAAAATAAGCCTGAGAATATTTTTATACTGAGTCCCAGTTTGCTGCAAAAGACTAATATACAAGTAAATATCACATAGTATCAGGTATCAAGTAATTTAAATTGTTATATTTGGTTAAAAATATATTACATTTTATATATAACATATTTTGGATTCGCATTTTAAATAAATAATGTCAGTGTGTTCATTAAATATTTGTATTCTTTAGATGTTATTTTGTAGACTCGACATTGGTGAGATTCTGGGCATGCTACGCTAGTTACTGTGTTTCACAGTCTGTATTAAATTCTCAGAAAAATCAATTAGAGCAAAGGAAAGTCAGTACTGTGCAAATTTGAACATACTATGCTTATACTTAGTTGTTCCTTCCCTTAATACCTAAACCACTGTAACATCACAATGTATCTGGCAGGAACATTAGCTTGTTCTGACAAATATGAGGCATATATTCTATTCAAGCCTTCCAAGCACACACTGACTTCTCATTTACATAGTTTCTGTGCTTCTGTTTCTTCAGTCTTTCCTTTCTCAGGAGAATAAGTATTTCTGTTTAATATTAGGATTACTGTTTCCATTAATAATTCTGGTTGAACCAGTGCCTGCAACACCAGGTTTATGATTATAGGAGTGGGATAACATTTTTCCATTTTAAACCGATACAGTTAAATTTTAGTGGAGAATTAAAGTGTCCCGTTTTGGCTATTTAGAACATAATTTTCCTTGCAGAATTTAGGATTCTTGTTCAAAAAACCAGTAAAACAAGGGCTTTATTTCTATTGGTAGTAGAGGAGTACAAGGAGACTTGTACAAATTGTGCTAGTGACTGGTACTGAGATGAAAGGGCGAAATGCATTTCTTAATATCAGTGTCAGCATCTCCTACCAGCCTGTTCTTATCAGTGAACCTCTCTGTTAGCCCTGTTTGCCTATGCAGCTTTCCATACTAACCCCCCGGGTAAGCTAAAAATGTCAGGTGTTTTGTCAGGTTACTCTCCACGCAGATCAGACTCCTGATCTGATTCACTATCTTGCCTCACAAGTGCTTAGGCCAGCACAGGAGGGGAGCGCACAGGAGAAGGAACAAGTAGTTGCATGTAGAGATGATGCTGTATAGCCTGGTATAAACAGCACTTGGCTCACATCTAATCACAGGTTGTTACATTATTGTAAACCTGGATTGTATTTTGGAAACAGTTGTATCACTGCCATTTTACCAGTGCCTCTTTCTTTCAAGCACAATAAGCTTCAGCAAAGCATACATGCAACATTGTCTTTACACAAATCAAAAAATGGCTAGTCACTTCTATACCCTTCTCCTGTAGTTCTATTTAATGTAAAGCACTAACTCTTTCATTTGTTGTAGGTTCTTTTACATCCTCTAACTAGAAAAGCTGATGGTGACAGCCAGCTACCTATGTGTGATACTGACAGGAACCTTCCTTACCACAAACTAAACGATCTAGGGTGAGACATTTTCATAGTAGAAAACATGGGAGGGAATGGGAATTTGAAAAGAAGAAATATTGATGGAAATGCAGCTTTTTTGAAAACTAGGCCAGATCTATAAAAAAACTCCGCATCTTCTGGCTTGTATCAGGTTTAGACCTTATCCCTCATATATGTAGATGTTTAATTTTGTCTTCTGAATAGTCTTACTGCAGTGAATAGAAAACTTCATACGACGGAAGGTACTCACGTACTGAAAAGTTCACCATGTCTGACAGTAGAACTGCATAAGTTTCAGAAGAAGTACTGATAGTTCACTGGCTTTTGGCATGCTTCTACGTAGTATGAAACAGACCTCTACGTAGCAGTAAGGGATACTGGGGTTGTTTTAGCTGAGGTTTCCAAATGAAGCAAAACTTACGATGTGATGTAGTCTATCTCAATCCTCTTCCCCCAGTAACTTAAACCTGTTTACTTGTTTAACTACATTTAATGGTATGGGTCTCAAAGAAACTTAGTTCCTACAAGTTTTATCAGAATTGTCAGCTGAGGAGAAAAATGCAGAGTGGTGTGTCCACAGGTAAAATGTTCAATGTAAGCTCAACAGCTACTTGGTTAACCTGCTAGGTGGCCAGGGGCAGAGGTGTAGTCTGGAACTAGCCATAGGACATGCTGGGTCTTCCCCAGTAAATAAGTAATATGCAAAGCTGTGGTCATTAGTATAAGGGGAGACAGTGGTACTGTGTAGCAATCTTGAAGTAGGGATAGGACAGAGAGGACATGAGAGACTTGGCGTACTGTGGTAGTACACTATCAGCATTGTGAAAGGCAACTGAGGATATTACTGAGGCATTGTAAAAAGCCACTGAGCATGTTATTATCAAAGAGGGAATGGGAACTGATACAGGGGTAGTGTGATAGGGATGGGACGTGGTAGGGTAGGGATGTTAGAAACTGGGATTAATTTCTTCATTCCATTTCTCAGGGAACAACACTTTTTGTTTAAAGTTGAAATACAAAACTGAGATAGCCTTGCTGTTGGTAGACCTGAAAGACTTTGTGTCTCGAAAGTCACAAAGATTTAGGACCAGTGAAGGATAAGGATGTCTTCAAATGAACTATGTGTTACTTTATTTCTGAAAAGGCTGAGAATTCTTCCGACCCAGGCATGCTCCATTGTTTTACCAATTTGTTAAACTCCTTAGTAGGTTGTTAGTCAGACACTCAAATAGATGAAGCCCCAAAAGATGGTTAGCTCTTATCTTCTGAGACCTACCTCATGCTAGGCTGGTGTACAGTGACTAGATAACCCTTCCATTGTGGGGGTGTTCTGCAGTGTCTGTCTGTGTCCCCTGTGTCACCGCTGCTGAATAAAGGTGTCGTCTCTCCAGATTGAATTGTCCTTAGCTTTTTCTCGAAACAGTGAAGTACATCACAGCGTGTCAGCATTGAAACTTCACTATACTGCAAGCTATTACTACTTACTGATGCTGCCTTAGGACACTTAATGTTTTATTTGCTCTGCAGAGGAGTGGACAAATTAGGAACATCTTCCTTTGAACACGTAAGCCACAGTCTTTTGGGGCGTCCTTTATCTCAAAAGCTGGCTGCTGTTGCTGTGGGACTGCGAAGTGGAGGATTGCTTCTCACAGGAGGAAAGGTACACACTTCTCTACTTGCAAACCCTCCCAGATTGTTTTCCATAGTTACAAAACTGTTTCCATTAGTTTTCTTTGATACCGTGTGCATTACAAAGAATTAAAGAACAAACTGAAAAAAAAGCAGTTAACTGAACAGAGTTAATTCAGTAAAACATTGTATTTTATATATTAATCTACACATTGTACGCACACTTCATCAATACATATTCATGTTTCATGTATATATATAATATATATATAACATAAGTTTTGAAGATTTCTACCAATGCAATTTCAATTTGTTCCCTTGGGGGATTAATGTACTTTGTGTTTATAGTACAATAAACACTTCTTCTCTCTGAAATATTTGCATGAAAATAAGACTAATATTTTCTTCTGTGTTCTAACATAAAATGGCAGTGGAGTTGATACTCTGATTTTCCTGTTGCCTCTTATGGTGATCCATTTAATACCATATTCCACTGAAACTAACAGATGTCTTAACACTGAACTCAGTGTGGATGCATCCACTCTGAATTTGTTTATACTTGGTTCTCTATGGGGCTTTGGTCTGTACCAAGTGATATAAAGACAGAATACCTAGATACTTTTGGTGAGGAATAAAAGCAGTGTGCGTACAGCTTTCCCAGCTTGTTAACTGGTGTATACTGTAACAAAAACTCCACTGAAACAGAAGGAACTAGTTCTGTCAATTTACATTAGCTCACATTTGGTTTTATAGGGAAGTGGAAAGTCAACATTAGCAAGGGCCATCTGCAAAGAAGCATTTGATAGACTGGATGCTCATGTAGAAGTAATTGATTGTAAAGCTTTAAGAGGTATGGTAACTTATTTTTTTTTTAATCTCAAATGTTTGCTGTGCTATGCGAAAGCACAATTATGAAGTTATTCTATTTAGTCTGAATAATTTTTCTAGTATTATTACTGCTTTTACAAGCATATTTGATGCCCCACGATGAGCATCTTTAACAGTCTGCTGAAAATACAGCTGCTCTAAGCTTACTTCACACTTTTATCAGTTTCTGTCCTGTGTACCACCACCAATTTCAAACAATGCTTGCCATACATATTTCTAATTGTTACAAAATAGGAAGAAGTTGCAAGTTGAACTGTGTGTTTTTTCAGCTGTGCTAGCTGGAACAAATGTTACATTAACAAATTATAAGTGTTAAAGGATACCTGTATTACTCAGTGAAAGGATGACAGATGACACAGGCACCAAAGAAGGATCAAATGAGCGGCTGAAACCTGATTTATGATGGCATGTTTACTAACCTAGTGTATGTTGGCAATAGTCATCTAACACTCATGATTGTAGATGAAGATGAGATGAATCCATAGGTTTTGTGAGTTCAAAGTAAGTATTTTGTGCCAAAGATGGAAGATGACAAAAAAGGCCTTTTTACTCTTTCATTTACTGGCTTTTCTAAATAGTCTTGGTGTTACAGAGGCAGAGAATACCCAACTGTTTTCTTACAGAGCCCTTACATTGCAGAGCTATACTCCTTTTTCTTAAACTGAGCTCCTTGCTCCAGAGAAAAAGGGAAAGATTGATGAAGAGCTAGGTCCTTCACTCTGAAAAATTCTTCCAATTGTGGGACTCCACAGCAGCTGATTTAGAGTGCTTTGGATACTGCTCTAACTGTCTAGAAATTAGACCTGTAGACTTCTGTAGTGGTTAGTGAAAGATGATTCATCTCATTTTAGGACAGGTGGATCCTTCTAGTACTTTTCTGATAGATGTGGACTCTTTACTGACTGTTGACTCTGCTTTAATCTTAGAACCTGGATTTATAGGAGTAAAGTTAAGCTATACGAATCAAAACATTGTAGTATTATGTGAGCAAGATGTAGTCAGTCTGATTTTTTTTTTCCTGTTATGTTTTGTCATTAAAATTGCATTTCTGTTTTAGGAAAAAGATTAGTAAACATAAGGAAAAATGTGGAAGAAGCTTTTTTAGAAGCAGCATGGAGACAACCATCTATTCTTTTGATGGATGATCTTGATCACATTGTTGGAGTACCTTCTACACCAGAGCATGAGAACAGCCCTGAAACAGTTCAAAGCAATAGACTTGCTTATGGTAATACTGTGCTGCCTGCGTTTGGATAAAAATGTAATGCAGCTTGGAATTTCTAGCACCCCAATTGTACCATCCTACCTGGACAATTCTGTCTGTATCATTATTGCCTCTGGACCATGTGGTATTCCATGGCAGGGATTCACAAATTACGGTTTGTAGACCATTTGTGGACCACTAGCTGAATCAAAATGGTCCACTCTGGAGCTTGGAGTAGTCATTGCCAATGGTATGTACACGACCACTGCTGATGGCAATGCCTGTTGTCAGTACCATTGCCAGTGGCAGAAGCTCCTCAGTTCCTTTTTATATTGTTCACGCACTCAAATACGTTGCAATTGCTTGCAAATTACAGATGAATATTTAACTGATAATTATTGATAAGATCAATATCATAATTGACATTAAAATTTATCATGTTTTCTGTGATTATTATTTATTATTACAGAGATATATAAATTTGATACTTATTGATGTTTAGAACCAACTTCTTTTAGCTGAGTACTAACTTCTTTATCATCCTATTTGATATGCTTTGTAGGACTTTCATTTTACAACATAGCAATCCATAGATTTTTAAAATAAGATTATCAATTATAGTTTGATATCCTGTATATGGTTCCTTTTTATTCCCTAAAATCTAGGCAAGTTGCCTAGATTTTGATAAGTTGCAAAATAAAATTAAAGTGATCAAGATTAATATAGTTATTTTTTTTAGCTGTATATAACTGTTCATGTAAAATTAAAGCCATAAGAAAAAAATATCTTTGATTTCTTAGCTCAGTTTAAGGGAGTTAGAATAATTTTTTATTAAATTATCTTTGAAGTTCAGAAAACCTTACCATAATTTCTTTTTTAAAAATGTGCACTTCAGTTACTTGCAGTAGTGTTTGTGTTTCTTATTACTTTATTTACAGATATAATGCATACAACAGAGGTTTAGAGTTATAAAGATTATTTCATGAAGGATCTACCTTGCATACATAATTTCTTTGACCTTCGTACATTATTTTTTCCTAGATTGCTTATTTTCTAGGCTTAGCATCTATTATATTCTTATAACTTTCCCTTTTTTGTTTGCATGGTGGGAATATATTTCTAGAACAGTGATCATCGCACACAAAAAAAAAAATCCATGTTTAATATCCTGTGGTAGACATCATCAGCAATTTTACAGATTTAGCTTTTTAAAGAGCACTTCTCATGGCATTTTATTAATGGAATGTACTGTCCTAGAAAAAATAACTATACATCTTATTTTTTTAATTAAAAAAAAAAAGCCTGTAAACATGAAAATAAAATAAATATAGAATAATATGTTACACTTTAGTGTGCCCTAATGGTGATTTCCAGTACAGTAGAAACTATTACGAAATGCAGAATCTTTTGTTATTTTGCAATTCATGGAGCAATGTCTTCTGTGTTTAGTTTTGAAAGATCTGATAAAAGAAGTTATTTCCATGGGGAGTTTGATTGCACTAATTGCCACAAGTCAGTCTGAACATTCCCTACATCCTTCCCTGGTTTCAGCTCAAGGAACTCATATATTTCAATGCTTCAAATGTATTCGATCTCCAGATCAGGTAAATTCAGGTAAAATGGTTAAAATGTTGTTTGCCTTCCCTGCAGCCTCAAATATAATACTGGAGCAGCTGCAAAAATAGTAGATTACACCTGGAGATGAGAAAAAATTTGGAAACTTTAGAAGTTCTTTCATGATACTGAAATACCTCAGAACTTAGACCTGTTGAAAACTCCCAGTTGGCCCCACTCTGCTTCTCTTCAGTGGCAAGAGAAGGGTGTGTTCAGAGGACATTCAGTTCAACTTAAAACAAGTCAGGTTGTGTCTAACATAGGTGAGGTATGCATGTCCCCTTGTTACCTGTAAGGGGATTCTAGAGGAGCAGTTTTGAAAAAACACATTAGCACTACAGTTAGATAAATGAGATTAAACTTCAGTGTAGCTTTTCACTGCTTGGAGGAATAAGTATGTCCCTAGAACATGTATTTTTAAAATGTTATTAAAACTAAATGTTAATTTTATGGGAGGGTTTGAGGTTGGTTTTCTATATTAATTCTATCCCTTTACTTTTGAGTACAGTCCATTTTGAAAAGTAAAAAGGATAGGGGGAAGAATAAACAGTATAACTTCATTGCAGGAGATAGCAGCCACTTTGTACCTGTGAATGCCCTAATGACATGACACAGACATGGCAACTCATTTGTATTTAACAGGAGTTGTTCCTGCCTGCTTGGCTTCTGTCACAGACTAGCAATTAAAAGCCACTGAGGAGGGGATTCTGCGTTAGATACAGTGTGACTTTCTCACACTTCCTGCAAGTCTACTTTTATCATTTTTAATACTAACACGTGAATGAGGATGAGGCATCACTAGAAAACTCAGGATCTCAAAAGTTGCCAATTATCTGATGTATTTTTATCTAATGCAATAGATTTCGTCTCAAATACATTCTACTGGTATCGGCAAAATGAAAGATGTTCCTTTTCCTGTGAAACAGACAGTATGATCTGGGAGATGAGGGTTGTTTCATTATTAGTGTTGGATTTAAGATAGTTGTGGCAAGGTAAACCTTTAAAGTTATACAACTGGTGAATTTATTGAAATTCACCTGAAGAACTAACTTTTGTTTATATTTGTGCCTGCTCAGATTTTGCTATTAGAAGGTTTGGTGACATGTAAATATTTAAGGAGATCATAGTAACTCCTATGTATTTACTTTTTGAATTTCTGAAATCCATTATAAATAGTAAACTCAATATACACTTGCACAATTCTATTTTTCAGAAGCAAAGATGTGAAATGCTGTGTTCCATAATAAAAAAGAAACTGAATTCTGATATAAAGAAGTTCTCTGATCTTGATCTCCAATGCCTTGCTAAGGAAACAGAAGGTTTTGTTGCTAGGGATTTTACTATGCTGGTTGATCGCGCCATTCATGCCTGTGTTTCCAACCAGAATGCTTTTCAAAACGGCGGTATGTTGACAACAAAATCTCTTATTTCATAGTCTTACTTCTGTTATCCAGAACCTACAGAAATAAAACTCCAGTTTTTATGTTTTATGTTTAAAATGTATTTAATTGCTACATATTGTGAGGAATTGGTTACTAGAAGGCTGTGTACTTTTTTTTTTTGTTCAGGATTATTTTTTTCTTTTTTTTTTCTTTTAAGCAGATTTGAATCTGTCAACTGTGGATTTTCAGAAAGCTCTAAAAAATTTTACTCCGTTAGCTCTGAGAAATGTTAACCTTCATAAGCCTAAAGACATTGGTTGGGACAGGATTGGTGGCTTAAAAGATGTGAAGCAAATACTCACGGATACCATCATGTTACCTGCAAAGGTACCCAGTTCTTTTAAATTAGTTACTTGAATTGTATACATAATATTAGTAGGGGAAGAATGATTTTTAAGGTGTGACATCCTATTTGACAGAAAGATGACAGGTGTGATTTTAAGCTACTTTTATAGCTTCCCGGTCTTCAACTGTCTTAGCTACTTGGAAAACTCTTTCTCCTTCCCCTTCCCTCTTCCAAATACAAAAGCCGATGTCTTGTGCTTTTCTACAGATCAGGTGTTGCTCTAGAATGTTGCAGTATTGTTAACATCATCTTTGCTATACTCTCTGTTGCAAGGTTTGTGATTAGGCTCTGTAAAGATAACATTTCCAGCTGTCTTCTGCAGAGATTTTGCTAAAGGAGTATTCTCTTTTGAATGAATGCCAATCCATCAATTCCCCTTTATTTTACTTTGGCTTTTCTGCCTTGCCTAAAACTTCCAGCACTGAGATGAGCCCATCCATTTCAGTCTTCAGAGAAATGACTGAACAGTTTTTTTGTATAAAGGACAGAATCTTTTACTGTATACTTACATAATTTAATCATATCAGTTGGTGATTAAAATAGGAATTTAGAAGTACCAATATGGACATTATAAAGCTCTGTATGCGTCCCTGTTCTGTCCTGTTTGCTCTTGGTAGAAAGTGCCACTTGTTTCTATCTTAGGTACCTATGAAGCCTAGGAACCCACTTCAGCATCAAGTAAACCAACAACAGTCCAGATGACCTCTTGTGATATAATGTGGATAAAAAATATTAGACACATTCTGTTTAGACAAAAATCAACACTAGTCAATGATGTTACAGTACACTGCAGAATAATTACATATTTTAGAATATGTCCTGTTGAAACTCTTTTCCAGTATCCAGAATTATTTGCAAACCTGCCCATACGACAGAGGTCAGGAGTCTTGCTGTATGGAGCACCTGGAACAGGAAAAACACTGTTAGCAGGAGTAGTTGCTCGAGAGAGTGGAATGAATTTCATCAGCATCAAGGTAGCAAGATTTTGAAGGTTAATTTGATTCATTTTATTAACCGAATGAAATCATTTAACATAATATGTGTGAGTGTGCTTGTGAGGGCAAAATGTCAAAGAAAGAAACTCACATTTAAAATTTGGTATGTCTGAATATCCCACCATCTGACTTCTGGAACTTCAAAGTTCTATTACTGAGATTTTTTTTTTTTCTATAATTATTCATTAAGCAGAATTATAAAATTTAATTAGATGTTCTTAGTTTCCCATTGTTTGTAAAAAGAGCCTGGATTTTGGGTCCACTGGACAATTAAGTTGAACAATGCATTTTAAACATATTTTCAAAATACAGTGTAAGCTGTTGCATTGTGATACTGTCACACATGTTCTGTTATAGTAAAAAAATTGAAATTATTACTTCAAAACAAGTTGGTACACTTGAAAGATACTTTTGGCTTACCTAGACCCCTCAGCTCTTCTATTCAGAGATGCCACTCTCTTGGTTACAAGAAAATTCACTCTAGTATATAAAATCTATGCTGATGTTGAATTACACATTAAAACTAAGAAACATATAATGAATGTTCTTTTCTGTTTTTAGGGACCAGAACTGCTCAGCAAATACATTGGTGCAAGTGAGCAAGCAGTTCGAGATATCTTTAACAGGTTGGCTTTGTAAAGATTTTGATGTTATCAATTAATTTATTGGTTGAAGCTCCAAGAAATAATTTGGTTTTCCTAGGAGAGACATGGCATCAGGTCACAAAAGCATCTGAAATAATTAGTTGTGCCAAACCAGATGTTCAGACTTTGGCAAGTTCAACTTGACTATCATTATTTAAAAACAGCATTTTGGCTCAGATCAGGACTGTACTTCTGAAGCTGAACTTCCAGTTCTCTCTATTCACAGTGCGTTGGCTCATATCACAAAACTGGCACAGAAAATACATTCTGAATTCCTTTCAGATAGCTCCAGGAGACAGTTGAGTGTGCTCCCGTTGGTAATGAACACTCAATACATAGGATCATACTAGACTTGGAGCTGAGGCCCTCAGTGCCAGTTATTTTGTTACTACAAATCTGTCCTTACTGACCCTCAGTGCTCACTAATGTAAAGGTACCCTACGTAGCCTTTGCTTCTCATGTAGTTTACAGTGTAGGCAGTCTTTGTGTTAGATGTACATAAGCCAAGAAGACCTCATCTGCAGTAATTGTATTTTAGAGCTTTCGTGTATATTAACACGACAGTTGAGTACTTCAGAAATTAAAAAGCAAGTGCAAGGTATGTCATAAAAATGAGCAGTGATTCCATTGCAGTCCAATTCTTTAGAACCTCTTAATTTCTGCAGAAAACAGATTTTTTGTTCTGTCATTAAAGATAACTGTTCTCAGAAGCAAAAAGGAATTACCTTTAATATTTCTAAGCAGTTTTACCTGTGACCCAAACTTAAACAGAATTTAAATATTTTTTTACCTTTTAGAGCTCAGGCTGCTAAGCCTTGTATCATTTTCTTCGATGAGTTTGATTCTATTGCTCCTCGTCGAGGTCATGACAACACAGGAGTTACTGACCGAGTGGTTAACCAACTGTTGACTCAGTTAGATGGTGTGGAAGGGTTAGAAGGTAATAATTCATCTGTGTGCTCCTTTTTATGCAAAAGTTTAGCAGATGTTAACGATATTTTTTCTGCACTTTCCTAAGGGGTTTATGTGCTAGCTGCTACTAGTCGCCCAGATTTGATTGACCCTGCTTTGTTAAGGCCAGGTCGGCTGGATAAGTGCCTGTACTGTCCACCTCCTGATCAGGTGAGGAAATAAAGCATATTACCTGAGGCAAGCTTAAAAAAATCAAACTAATGGGCTTTATTCTCCTTTATATCTAGTGGCATTTCAAACCTGGACAAAGTGGACTTGATTGCCCAGCACCAGTTACACAACAGTATAAATTCACTGACTTTAGTGTCAAAGCATTCGCAAAAAACTGGGGAAAGACAAGGCTGTTTACCACAGTCTTCAGGATCAAATCATGTTCTTCTGTACATAACTGTTTTTAACAAAAAAAAAAAATAAAAAAGGAAACTAGTCTGCAGAAAGAAATTGGTTACAGGGTAGTGTTTATCATGTTCTGCATCTTGTTCTGAACTATGAGTCCAGTGGATCTGCCGTTTGCTTGAAGTGATGAACCATAGCCACTTCCAACACAACTCTTGAATTATCTGAAGTTTTCAGAGCAGTTTTATTCTGAATTCAGTTCATCCCTCTCTTATTTACCCACATTTAATTTGGAATCTTCAAACTCTTTTTAAGTCAGATGTGTCACTAGTTAGGAAAGGAACAATTCCCATTGATTGTAGTGGGTTTTGGATCAGGCCTTTGAGACTGTACAATGTGTGTCTGTGATTCCACATTTTATGAGAAAAAATTAGTGCTGTTCATTTTCAGATTAGTTGGCACATTTAACAAATATCACATCATTTCATACTGAAACACACAGGAAGGAGATGATTCTGTGCCTTAAGAACACAGACATACTCTTCCTTTTTTTCTTTTTTTGTAAACTGCTTTTTTATAATATGATCATTTGGGTAAACAGAAGTTTTTCACTTTGGTCACACTTCTCTTTGCAAAAGGACATATGAGTAGTAGAGTTCACCTTCACATGTTTATATATATCATATATAAAAATACCAGATATTAACTGGATATTTAGAAATACATTTTTCTGTATACTGTGTTTGGTACAGTTTCTCTTAGACTCTTCAAGAAAATGTAACAAAATGTATGCCTATATTTTAAATATTGATTACTGTATAGTATGTCCCACATATACTATTATTAGGGTAGTATCTTTTAAAAAAGATCCTCCCTCAGATAGGAAGTTGCTTGTGACAGAGCCAAAGACACTATGTAGCAATCAGGACAAGGAAAATAACAGGTTGCTTTACTGACATTTTTTTTTCCTCCCTTTTTGCAGAACTCACGCTATGAAATCTTAAAAGCTCTCAGTCATTCTCTGTCCTTGGCAAATGATGTGGATTTTCAGGATTTGGCAGCAAAAACAGAACAGTTCACAGGGGCTGACCTGAAAGCTTTATTGTACAATGCCCAATTAGAGGCAATCCATGCTCATTTAGGTTCAGGTATAACACAGGTAAATAAAACATATAAAAGAAGTCTCTGCTCTTTTTATTTTGATATAGATATATTTGAAAGGATTAATTTTATAATTTTTTTAGCAAAATTATGTTTAATAAGATTTAGTTTTCCTATATTTGTATACAGAGGATTAAAATCTTAACATATTTTCAGAAAAATGCAAGAATAGTGTAACAAATTAGTTTAAATACTTCTTAAACACAAGTTTTTTTCATTTTATGATAGGTGTTTAATGTTAAATAGATTGATGTAAGCCAAATCTGTTTATCATTGTTATGAGGGGTGACTGACAGATTGATAGGAGGGATCCCGCTCAGAGTTTCTTAGAACTGAAATTGCTAGTTGCTCCTGAGGTGGAACATTTTGGATGATGAAGGAAGCAAGGAAGGTTTTGTGGAGTTGTTCCAACAGACTGAGTGTGTTCTGAGGTCAGGAGAGAAGTGTAGAGAGGATGGTGATATCTGAAGTGGCCTGGTCTGGCTCATCTTCTGGGCACAGGCTAGTACTTGCACTTCCAAGGTACAGGATCCCACCCTTATGTGACTGACAGGTCCTTTCCTATTTTAGCCTCTATTCAGCCACCTCTCCTTACATTTTTAATGCCTGTTTTAGAGTTCTAGCTGGAAAGGGGCAGGCATGGCTTCCACTACTCAGAGGTCAAAGGGAAGGGTTGAGTCAGGGACAAAAGCCAGGAGACCCCGCCTTGGGTTCTTTTTGCTCCAGCTGTTACCCAGGGATTGGGGCTCTGAGGATGCAACTCTTCGTATTGGGAGGGATCTCCAGCATATCTTCCCTAAAAATCCCTTCACTTGTAGCATCAGTAAGTAGTTGTAAGGATATCTGATGATTATCTGTCATTAGAGGAGGCCATTGTCTAAGGCAGTGGTCTCCGGAGTGGTGTGCATCCACCTCTGGTGGTGCACAAAACAGTCCATTGAGGTGCAGGAAGAAAATATTAGAACTTCAATACTACATGTATATAAATCATAAATAAATAAATATGGATATATTAGATGGAGTGTGCTCAGAATTTTTTCTACTGATGGGGGTGTACAATCAAAAAGGTTTGCAGACGCCAGTCTAAAGCAACAACTATGATTTCCACATCAGCACTTAAAATGTGTTGACTATGACTAGAGGAGTACAGCAATTAGGCGTTATAGAAGTAGACTCACCACAGTCTCCTAGAGCACTTTACACAAGATATTAAACTGCCTGGAGGGAATGAGCCAGAAGTGATACAGTGCTACAACAGAAAGTGTACGTGAGGTTTGTGAACATTTGCTGTTACTTAATGAGTGAGAAAGTTCATAGCAAACAAATAAAACCCTAATATTATCTCCTCAAATTATTTTTCTAGCATCAGGACAGAACGTTCTGCTTAAAAACATTGGATTTTCTTAGCAAAATATTTGGAAATGTACTCCCAGAGAAAGATAACTAGAAGCCAATATAAATCAATAGTTTCATTTCCACTGTATATGAAATTTTTTAATGCATTTCAGATTGCAATTGTTACAAGTTAACACTTCTAATGTTCTGTTCTTTGTCACAGGATTTTGGTTCTAGTTCTGATAGTGACTTCAGTCTCTCTTCCATGGTTTTTCTAAACCACAGCAGTGGCTCAGATGAATCAGCAACAGATGGAGAAGCAGGGCTAGAGCAATCTCTTATTTCCTTAGACATGTCTGATTTGCTTCCTGAAGATCCAAGGTCCAACATGTATCGTCTTTATTTTGGAAGCTCTTACGAATCAGAGCTGGGAAATGGAACTCCTTCAGAGCTGGTAAATTACTCGCTTAGTATTTTGAATTTTCTAAACATTTTCAGTTGCAAAGTAGAAAAACCGAGCTAGGCAAATGGTATGGTTTTATAAATACAATTATGTCTGCTTTGTCCTTCAAACTGTCTTCATCCTATACCTTGAGGTCCACGGTGGTGAAGAACATGGAAGGATATTATCTGACAAAATACAATATGGAGTTCTCTGCAACTTTGCAGGACTTTAAAATCAAAATCCCCAAACACCGCTTAATACCTAATAATCAGGCAAACTGCATTCATACTAGGTCTTACTGTATGGTCTAGTGGCTTGTTACCTTCCAAAGTTTATTAATAAAGCAGTTTTTGACTTTTTGGTAGTGTTTTCTGTTATAACTCAGTTTCATTACTAAACGATGACCATCCATCTTTCAAATATTAAGTCATAATCTTAAGATTAAACAAGCATTTTTGCAGTTTCCAGTAGAGTTTGCATTAATGGAATAATCTGACTATGGAATTGTGTAAACAGCAGAAGTAAACCATAGCTTCCATCGTTGCTCCGAAGAAGCAGAATTCTTGTTGTAGTATCACACTGGACAGACAGCAGCACGTTCCCTGGCTGGCTTGCAGATAGGGATGTGCTGGTTGGCTCCCCAGCACCTGCACAGTGATCAGCTGGCCAGGTCGTCTCGCTTGGCTGCCTGCAGAGCAAAACTGTGTGCTGCCTCTGAGCTCCTTATGGTGAACGGAAGACTTCAGAGTTTGCATGTGATCCATGGGACATTCATTTTCAAGATCTGTTGTAGAACTGTTATTACAAGTAGTTAGCAAAGCTGTTAGGCTCTTGTTTTCAAAACTTGTCTTGCATTTATTTTTAAAGCCAAAAATAACTTTGACATTGGAAAACTAATTACTGACTGCTAATGTGCTTTTGTATGTTTTATCTTGCATTATAGACGACAGTGTTCAATTAATGTATCTTTAGAGATTTCAGTTTTCCTCTGACTGTGAAAGTTCTTCAGCAAGGCTACAAGGACTTTGATCTCTTAAAGTTGTTGAACTGGAAAGTTGCATATTTTATCAAGTGCACAGAGAATTTAGAGGTGATGAATATTTAAATTATGAGTCATTTCAAAGCTGTCTACATAAACTTGCTCAGATTTCAGAACCACTGATTTTCATACATAAATAAAACAACGGACTTAGACCTTTGTTCTTTTTGAGACAGGCCATTACAAAAATACTCAGATTTTTTTCCAAACATGAAACATTTCATTTTTAAATTTACTTTTCCACACGCACCTCAGCAAACTAACCTAGATCTTTCTGTTCAAAAAGTTAATTATGTGATATATTTTTAAGAGAAAGCAGTCTTTTTGCCTGTGGGGGCATGATTATACTGAATGTAGGCTAAATCTTACTGGTGGAGTTGCTCTTCTGGTTTGACAATGAGTTAATGTATTTCTCCCTGTGGTCAATTTAGAGCTCTTTGTGTTTGTCTGGACCAAACTCCATAACTCACGATTGTACCAGCGTGACTCAGAGAGATGCAGCATCGTCACAACCTTCAGTGCTTAGAGCAACTTCTCAAGAACTTGATTCCCTGGAAAATAACCGGGAGCAGCAAATAGAGCACCTAAGGACTGAAATCAATGTTATCAAAGCCAATAGCAGAAGCAAGAATGGAGTATGGCAGTTTTTTCAATTATTTAGTCTTAACACTTCTATTGTTTCCCACACTTCTTGGAATTTTGATAACTAATTTCTACAATAATATTAATTATAGTGTAACAAAAATAGCAAAGACAGATGATACCTAGTTTTGGGAAAATAAGCCAGATGTTAACATTCATATAACTAAACAGTTATTTCTGTGGTGTTAATGTGGCAGGGGAGAAGTTTTGGCTGTACTTACAATACATTTGTCTGTATATGTAATGAGGAGGTTCCAGAGTTACTGGTATTCATGACACTGTGTTTCTCTGTTAATTTTTCATTGTCCATGGCTTTTCTAGGAGGACAGCACCTTTAATCAGTCAGTACTTGCCAAGAACACTTTAATGATTACCCAGTCCCATTTGATCACTGCACTTGAGGGTATAAGACCATCCATTAGCCAAGATGACTGGAAGAATTTTACTGAACTGTAAGTATTAAATGTTTTAGTAACTGTGAATTCAGTGGAGATTTGATCTTTTCACATTCCTTATTCATCAGAAACATATTAGTTACTTAATGTGGGAAATGTCAGCAGAGTTGAATAGCTTCTAACAACAGGTTTTTTTCAGAAATACTAAATTACATACTGGGAAAGGGAAAATATTTTATGAGTGCATTGTCTTCTATTTTTTTTATTAATGTAGGACCTAGAAATTCTAATCACAGTCCAAAAGACCCTTTTATTATGTTAAGAGCTATACCAGTACAAAGAGGCACCAGTTCTTTAAGACTTAGAGCTAGATCCTTCTTGTTCCCATTCAGTAATAGCCCCTTTTATTTTCAAATTGATGGATTTTGACTCCGTAGTGGTCTTTATAGCTGCCATGTTTGGAAAAAGGCAATGATCTGCAGAAGTATAAATATATGGAAAAGGAGAATGTGTCCCCTTCAGCTTGGAAACGACTGGAGTGACAAAGCTGGAAACTGGTATCAGGATGTTTTATGATCTCATCGGGGGGTTATTCTGACAGGAAGATTGTTAAGGAGTTGTCTTCCTCAGCTGATGCATAGATAAGCAGGTCTTTACAGCAGGGGGAAGAGAGAAAGAAGGGACAGGAAAGGAGGAGAATGAGATATGCTTCCCAGGAGTCTATACTACCCTGTCCACTTCTGTTCCTTGTCCCACCTTCTCCACCCCACTTCAGAAAATTAAAAAAAAAAAAAAAAAGGCAGGGCTAAATGCTCTCTGAGTTAGGTTTGTGGATGAAAACTCCTTCAGGTCCCTAGGTGTGAGAAGACATGCACTCTTAATTTCCATAAAAATGTACTTAAACAGCTGTAGTTCTGTGTTGCATTAATGTGTGTCTGAAGAGGCATATGCAAACAAAGGCATTTCATAAGAATTTGCTAATATCTTTTCCCAGGTATGATAATTTTCAGAATCCCAAGAAGAGGAAAGGACAAGTTGGCTCGACATTCAGACCAGGACAAAAAATGACTCTAGCATAGTAACTTGTATTTGCTTGTAATTTGCTAAATAGTAACTGGAAATGACGAATGTGATTAAATCAGATTATTTATATTCATATGGATTTATTAATGCAGCACTTGAAGATAAGTTTCTTTTAAACTTAAATGCTGTAAAATCATGTCACATTTTATTTTGAAGAAAGTTGTCTTCCTTCAGATTGATATTAAATTTTTGAGAGAACATTGGTTACATTCTGTCCAGTTGTTTATCACATAAAATTTAAAATTTTGCTTTTTATCAACATAGTTGCCAAAACCTAACAATTATTTACTATATCTGTTTATTTCCTCACCACAAATAGATTCTGTTCGAATAAACTGTAATATCTAATGCTGGAAATGTTTTTTAAAAATTCTATAAAGCCATTTTTTAATGCCCTTTGGAGGGCTTAGAGAAAGGTGGTACTTCATATGTTTATTGGTAGGCAACTGACTAGTATTTCCAGAATAACTATACTGAAAAAAAAAAAAAAAAAAAAAGACCAAGGTAATTGTATCTTGTTTTCTGCCACTGTTTATTATTCAGAATATCGAGTTGCATTTCACACAAGTGTATCTTCTTATCCCATCTTGTATTCTTGGAGACTATTCTGAAACATCTCTGATGTTTTGAAGCTTTCTAATGTTACATCCTGTAATTACTCACAACAACTGTTCTTACAGGAAGATTGTTAAAGAGTTGTTTTCCTCAACTGATATGTCGATATGCAGGTCTTCACAGGAGGGGAAGAAAGGAACAGAAAAGAAAGAAAACTAGAGATGTTTCCCATGAGTCTATACCGCCCTTTCACAACTTTTTACCAATACTGGGGGGTTTTGCCTGGTTGTTTTTTCAGAAATCTTCCTTCCCTACTGTTTACCTTCCTGAGTAATTAGAAAACACTGATGTTTTGTTGTTTTTTTTTTTGGTGGTCTCTCATAGCTATTATGTGCCTTTTCACACCTCGGTTGCTTTGGGCCATTGGACATTATTACCCTTTCTGTGATCAGACAGTATGCCTGGGCTTCCTCTGATCACTTCTTAGGGTACACTGGTAGTAGCAGCCTTCTTCAAGCTGCTCCTAAATGTTTGATTATATGGTCCCCACTACATGTTCCAATCTGTTGTTTCATTCATTGAAATGTATGATACTATGTCAGTAATTAGAACAACCATCCTATTGACCAGATGATTATATTGTTCACTGCTGTCTATTTGTAGTTCCTATTCCCAGTGCCAGCAAATAACTCAAAGAACGTTTAATTTGTATGTTTATTCTTACAGCCTGGTACAGGTGAAGCCTGTATACACTACAAGTCTTACCTCATAGTAGTTAATACCCCTGGTTCTCTCATTTGTGCTGAGCTATTGCTTTTTGCTTATGCTTAACTCTTGCTTCAGTAGGTTTTGAAACTGAAAATCCTTATTGCGTTACTACAAAGCTCTACTACTGTCAATACCACTATGTCATTAACATCACACTTATTTTTTAAAAGTGGGTATGTGTTTGTTTAGCATTAGATCCATATCTTAGTTTACCTCTAACCCTGAGTTCATCTTTCTTATATAATAGTGTAATTTCTTTCCTTGTTCACCTTGTTTAAAATGGCTGTAGAGGTGAATATGAGTAGGAGTTGAACAGATAAGCAATTTACAGCAGAGGAGCAAATCATTCCCTGCCAGATGCTCTGTGGTAACTCACATTTACATTGTGGTAAATGTAAGATAATTTGAAGTAATTTATCTTTTAACAGAATAGGGCCAAAAAATGTGAATATTATTAATGAAGTGCAGCAGCAGGCAAGCCATAATTACTCTGCTTTGTTTATGTGTCAAAAACTTCATGGTGGGGTTTTTTTGTTGTTTTTTGTTTGTTTGTTTGTTTTTAATTTCATTTCCAGGTTCAGTAGTTCATTTTGGGCATTTCTGGCCTTCAGGAAGTAGTTTATTTGTTTATCAGTTTCTTGTAATTTTTTTTCCTATGATTATTCATCCAGTGACATTTTGAGCTCATTCAAAATATTTTTTTATTTTCCTTGAGCTTCAAATTCCAAATAGTTTTAATTTCTAACTAAGGAAATGTTCTTTTATCTTCTTTTCAAATAGTTGCATATGAAACTTCAGCCCAGTTAATTTCATTGATTAGTCCCTATAGTTTCTCACATGGTTCTAGGAGCTTTTCACTTATTGTTCTGCTAACTTAATGATTTTTTTCAGCCAAAGGTTCTTTCCTACAACTAGTGCTTCTATAAGAAGGTGGTCTTCTAGCTGTTTCCTTGCCAAAATTGTTTAAAGTACATTGTGGCTTATTACATCTTTTCTGTTTGGTAAAGAAATCGTCAACTATTACAAAACCATGCAGATCAGCCCAAATTAGTAGTATCATCTGTTCTTTAACTTATGTCTAGATAATGGATACACCAGATTCATTATAAATGGAAATGATTTAACCTTCCAAGTAATGATAACCTCATAATGCACTGATACATAAGTCTGAAAGGACCAGTCAGAGGCCAGTCACGATTATAACAAAGACAGTGCAACAAAGTATGGAATTACCTTCACCTTTGGAGTCATTTAATTAGAATACCGTACTTCAGTGCCAAGTATTACATTGTAAAGTTAAAAAGAAAAGCACGTTTGCTGTGTGTCGAGGTCTTGTCAGTCCTCAACCAAAATTAGGCCCTATTCTGTCATAGAAAATATTCTTAAAACCCAGGAAGCCTAGGTTCTAAATCTGCACTCTTCCTTTCTACATGCAAGGAATTTCACCAGTGTGGAATGCTCAGGTGGGTTAATTCATACATCCTCCGACATCTCTAACCTGGACTGATGCCAGGGGTAATACCATTTGATCCAAGAAAGTCAGTCACTATTAATAACTGGGTGCCGTCAGGTGATCTTTGGCTATGTTCTGAACCATATTAACATCTCATCTTAAAAGATGGTAGAGTATCTAAATGAAGCCTAGCTAAAATCTGTTATACAGGCACATATGTTCCCTGTACATTGGATTTAAGGCCTATAGCTAAATGGAGGATAATCCCTTCCAGTCAAGCATCGCACAGGAAACACCAGCTGGCCTGTGGAGGCTCTTTCACAGGCCCCATGTTAAGAAGTACACCAAGAGGGAAAAGGGACCAGTAACAAAGTGTGTTTCACATTCCATAGGGCAGCGGGGATTTAGCTGCATCAGCTCTTGAAGATACCACAGGCAGCCAAACAACGGCTCTCGTGTTTGAGGCTTTTGACCTGTTTTCCTGTCTCTTCTGTCAAGAACCAGGGAAACTGTGTGAAGCAGCAGCCTAAAGACGGACAAATTCTGTGCTTCCCTACTCGCTCATCTGTCACTCCTACCTCCCTGAGGTGATACCGATGTCAGTTTTTCTGGGTATATATTGCAGCCTGTATAAAAGGTCAATAACCTGGGGTAGCTTTTTCTTTTCACTCCTGTTGTCACCAACACTGTCAGCTGTCACTGACCTTTTCTCAATTGCCAACCAGTCTTTCCCTGTAGTCGAGGGACTTCTGAAGAAACAAGTGTTAAATATAGATGTAAACACACTGCTTCTAACATGCAAGGGATTTCACTTTGTTAATAGGAACTCAGTTTCCACTAGTATCCCATAATTTTTCTTAAAAAAAAAAATGTTTAGGCAGCTTTTACTCTAAAAATGATTTATGTTTGAAGCTATCTTCTTACATCTGAGTAACTGTTAAATTGCTCAAATACAGCCTTGGATAACTGTACCTGTTTTGAAGCGATTCACAATTCTGGATTGAGTCAGTTGATGACTGGAAAAGGTTTCTGGAAAAAAAGTGAGATAGTGGGCCAATTCTGCTAAATGCCAATTTAATCGGTGCATTTAATTCTACTGAAAGGATTACATGGCTGAAATGTTGAGGGAATTTGGTAATTCATAATAATCAAAATCAGCCAGACTTGCTTTTCCAAGAATTGGGAGCACTGAATACCATCCAATTTGTTAGGTCCTTTTACTGTTAATGCTATTCTGCTGTAAATCACATTCATTGTTTGGGAAACAGAATTTCTGTTGTACTGTAAAAATTTCACAGGGTATTTATTGTGTAACTTCTGCTTCTTAAGGAATCAAACTTTGTTCCATTTCCAAAGAGAAGAAAATATCAGTTTTCCTAACTCATTTGAAGTAAAAGTTAAGCAGTGTCTGCTGAGGCTTAGATCAAATTAGCCTTGTGTTTCATAGTAGACATCACCACCTAGAACTCTGCTTGACTGTATTTTAGGCGTAACAGTTAGCAGCCTGGTGAAAACACACAAATTTTATTATTTACATCAGGTTTGAAAAGTACTTCAGCTCTTAGTTCACACAAACAAGTCTAAATTTTTGTGTGGACCAATCTACATTTAATGTCATACAGGGAATTTCTCTCTCCCCCTCTTCTGTCGTTAAGGAAGCAAAGTAAATGTCTCCAGCCCAAAGCCAAACAAATCTTCTAAAATATTTCAAAACAAAAATATTGTATGAATTTAATTTTTTCACAGTATACTTCACTCAAATTAAATCTGTGTGTGTGCATATAAAATATGAAAAAATACGTGGGTTTAAAAATATTAATCTAATTTATCAGTTGACTTGTTGCTTAATTTATTTCGTAAGTCCTGGTTATTATGAAAATGGTGAAATACATACATGCTGTATTACTGCATGAGGATCTGGCTGTTTATTATTTAATACCTGCTAAGCTCTCATAGAAGGGTGGGAGTGAAGCCTGCTTTCCCCAGCGTTAAGTTAGCAATCATAGAACTGTAAGCAATGCAGAAACTTGGAGGAGACCTGAAGCAGAATGGAATTTCTTGTGTGAATTAGACTGGTATCCGCAGCGTTAACCCTACGGGATGAAGTTAGGAGGCCAGGCTACAATTTGTCAACGTCATTTGACAGGTGGAAATTCACTCCCTCACAGGCATCATTCGGGAATAACCCACGTACAGCTGCCGCGGGAGAACCTCAGCCAGGGGATGAAGGTGGTTCGGCAGAGTCTCTCCGGCCGGCGCTCCCACATTTAATCTCAGGGGTTTGTAGAGTCTCCACTGCGCTTAATACACCCTCTCTTAAAAGTGGGCCATCTGTTAGCACGGCCTTGGCGTCAGATGGACATCTGGTTTAAGTGAAATGCTTTGCATCGGAAGCACAGGGGAGATGGCAACTTGGTCACAACAATAATGCGTTTGACCTCTGCAAGCTTTCTTAACTACTCCCCAGTTTTGCCTCAGGTACAAATTTCGAGACATCAGTCCTATAAGCTGGTTTAGCTTTCCAGCAAGTACGTTTTTAGCAAGTGACATTACTACACGCGCGCCGGTAGCCGAGGCGGCAGCCCCGTGCCCGCTCCCCGCCCCGCGGCAGGTGACGGAAGCGCAAGGGCAGGTCCGTCTGTCCGGCCGAGCGGCGGGACGGACCCGCCCCAGCCCGGGGCCCCCCGCCCCGAGGTGGTGCTCCTGCCCCCCCCCCCCCCCCCCCCCGCGGCCCACCGCGGCCCTTCCCCGCCCTCGCCGCGGGGCCGGGGGGGCCCGGCGGGACCCCGCGGGGGATGAGCGGCGGCGGGCGGCCTGCGCAGGGCCAGGGCCCGGCCCTCTCGGCCCGCGGCGCCCGCATCGCCGGCGCAATCCGCAGGTGCGGGGAGAGGCCCGGCCCGCGGCCCCGTCCCGGGAGGTGCCTGCCGGCAGCCCCGGGAGGTGCCTCCGGGGCCGGGGAAGCCGAGCGGGAACCCAGCGGGCGGGTCCCTCCTCCAGCCCCGGCGTCGTTCAATAGCTGCCATCTCTTCCAGGGCGTCCTGAATTTGGGCACAAGTGAGACAAGCTTTGCTTTGACCTGATAGAGGAGAGAGTAAGTGCTGCTGCCTTCTGACTAAGGGATTTCACCGCCAGTTCGACTTTGACAGGTGGCCGGTGAACAATTCAGCGCAGGGAAGGTAACATCCAGGGTAGGACACTGACAGCTTTCACAGGGAAGCACGCTTTAGATGTTTCTATGTATATGTTCCAGTTGCTCACTCGGAAATAATTTGCCAAGTAATATTTATATTGAAAACTTGCACCTGGTTGAAAACCAGAATAGTTTTGGTTTTGCTTAAACTTCATTCACATTTGATTGTATATGTACTCTGAACAGAACTGGTACCTATTTCAGCAGAAAATACTGCTTTGGAATGCCACCTTTCAGGAAGAAGTGTGTTTTCTCTCTTCTTTGATGGCAAAGCCAAAACTTTGACTGAATATGCTCCACACGTGAAATTCAGACTTTGAGCAAAATTAAAGCTATAACCTAAATATTACGCTGCTGTGCACTGCAGTAAGAGCCAGCCTCTGGAATGCAACCATGGGGAAATTACGTATTCTTTAAAGAAGTTGTTTTCCCCAGAGTTGTTATTTCTAGCTCCTCTGCTGGAAGGCATGGTATTGTTGCTTATGTGTTGGCAAAAAGAAGATCTAGTTGCCAGGCCAGCTTCTGCAGCTTACAAATTACCTCTTGTGTCTCCTTCCTCCTTACATGAGGTGATGAATTTGCACTTGTGCAGCTGCTGGTGCATTTGCAATGCTTGTGACGGAGGGTCAGGCATAAACGCAATGTACAGCTTGGTTAGCTGATGAAGTGGCAGTGCTAGCAACCGGAGAGGAAGTGTTTTTTCTTAGAAGTAAACCAATATCAGTGCCACAATGAGTACAGAACTGAGCCAGTTTTCAGAAGGTACACCTCCTCTGAGATCAAGAAAGCCACTGCTGATAATACAGCTAGTTTTATTCTGTAACAGATAGGATTGCCATTATTTTTCTTCTGTTGGTTGAGAAGCTGATCAAAGTTGACATGTGAATGAAGAGCTGGTATTGTAAATATTGCAAGAATTGTTTGAGCTTTGATATATCTCAGAAGTGGCTGCATAACCTCTTAGGTACTGCTGGGATGCTTTTCCTTGATGTGTTATTCAGGACTTGTTTTAATATATGACAGAAAAATCCAATAAATAATTCCTTCGTTATTTTTTCCTTTGATAATATTTTAATGTTGTTTAATAAAATCTTAAAACTGAAAAAGAGAAGTGCAAAGTATAAATATAATTGTAACTCATGAATTTTTATAGTCTCCATTTCCTTAATGTTACTGAACAATGGGTTTGGTATTTTAAAATCACATTTTACTCTGCTACAGCAGAACAGAAACTCCTAAGAACACTGTGTTCTACAGCGTTTCTCTTTCTTGTCACTAGCTCACAAGACCTGATATGAACTATCTGGAGCCTGAGCTTTTCCAGTATTGTGATACACAAGGTACTAGAAGGTAAGAAATTTGTTATCTATCACCTCATCCGTGGTCAGCGCTAGTCGGGGCTTGTGTGAAGCCGGGTGTGGTTTCATTCCTCTGGTGAACCGAAGGATAGCTGTGTTACTGCTGTCTGCACACTGTCAGGCTTTTGGGTTCCTGTGCAGGAATTAACCTTTCTGGAGTTTTATTCTGGTTTTCTCTCCACCCTCAGTGTGCCACAAAGACCTAGAATGCCAAAGGTCAAAGATTTGGGGGCTTGTTGGCAAGCAAGAGAGCATGTATTCATTCCTCCAGAGCTATGGCAAATCGTTCCTGGAATGATTCATTCTAGTCTTGGTGAGGGATAAACTGAAGTTCTGAGGGCTGTAAAGAGTAGAGGTGAAATACTGGCTCCCTGAAGATTGACAGGAACTACACCATTGCCTTCACTCAGGCTGAAAGCCTATCTTGATCTAAAGAATTAAGCATTGATTGAGTTTTCACTGTTTGTGCTACCAAATTTTTGTCCTTTCTCCAAAAATAGATCCTACTCAGGCTCAAAGACGCTTTATTTTCTCATTTTTCCTCATGTACAACAATAATAGTTGAGTCACAGTCACTGTTACTCAAGGTAACAGATGGCTTCTGTGTGCTTCTGTCTCACAAAATGTAACACACTGGCTATCTGAGGAAATTACATTATTTAATCAAAGTCTTCAAGGCTTTCACAACAGAATGAATTATGTGTTTGTTCTATTTTCTTCTGTGCGTATTTTGTGCTTGTTTTTCCTGAGAATTACATAATTGTGTGGTTGACTTTAATTCTGTGTTTCAGCTTCCGAGAATAAATTGCCAAATTTCTAACTGACTATGCCAGAGCTGCAAAAGCATTGAATCCGGAACATGTAAGACAAGTGCTTTATCTTTGCATCTTATTTTTCTTAAACTGATAAAGTTGAGTAAATCTCAACACAGATGTCGGCAAGATACTACAGGAGGGATACATGCCAGGTTTGCATAAGTCTTAGTAGCGCTAATTTTCCATTTGAAAAAGTGGGCGAGATGTAAGATTTAAGGACTTGATCTTATTGCTGTATTAGGGTTGCTTTTTCACTCTTTTTGAATTTGAACTAGAGTGCTGATATTTCTGCTAAATATTTCATTGCTAAAGGAAAGTTTGTACTACTTCCTTCAGATAACTGTTATGAATGGCTGTTGTGCTGTTTTTGCTACTCTGTCAACTGTATTATGTGACCCTGGTGGTGAGTAAAAGCTTGATTATTTACTTAAAAACATTTGTTAGCAGTTAATATAATCGTATTGTGACAGCCTGCTGTTACTCTAACTGCCTGAATGAGACAAGGAATGGTATTTCTTCGTCACGGGAAGAGTGTCTTTGAAGTAATGCCTCTATTTCTAGAATGCTGGAAAATGTCTGAGGTATCAGCAGGCCCACTCACTTTCTGCAATGCAATCCTCGTTTTTTAGGAGCACTATAGGAAGAGAAGGGTATTAAGAGAATGCATTGTATTTTGAAAAGTTATGAGAAAAAGAAATGAGAACCATGGTGGAAGCTGGAGGAAGTAGGCACACACAGATAGAGGTGGACTGGGTTGAAATCTGGTACCCAGAGAAAATTTGGGTAATTGAGTAAGGAAAACATGTAGAAGGAGTCTGGAACAGGGGAAAGGAGCTGCAGCAAAAGAGGGGTTCTTGGTCAAGCAAGGGTGGAGGTGAGGAGGAAACAGAGGTGAGAATGCAAAGCAGTAGTGGAGTCCCGGTAAACAGTATCTGCACACAGCTGAAGTAGGCAGTAGGAGGAAAAAGAGAGCTCAGGAAGGGAAAATGGTTTCTTCTCTGGTTTGGAATGAGACAAGCAGCTTAGGTGTGCAGTGCAGCAGAGAATGGGGAAATCCATGAAGAGCTGCAGGGAGGGAAGGTGACCAGGGTGACTGAGGTGGCTTCCTGTCCAGGAGGCTGTGCCACCCCAGCAGCACCTCGCTGCTGGCACCCAGAGCCCTCGGGAGGAGGGTGGGGTGAGGTAGGGCAATGTGGTGCGGTGACTTCAGCATATCGGTGGCAAAAGTGCTGTGAAACCGATGAGTTTTGTGTAGCTTTAAATGATAATGGTCACTGCAGGCTACTTGTATCCGTGTCTATTTTAATATGTTCAGATTTCATTGTATTTGTACAGTATTACCAGGAACTCTTCTGTTTGCTGACAGGCTCCTTTTCACCCCTTCATTAACACAGGAGGCCCACGCTGTACCCTCTGAAACCCTGTCACACAGGGCTTTTCCAGGAGAACCCCAACCTCGGGCAACTTCACAGCAGAAAAATGAGGAAGGAAAAAAGTTCCATGGTGCTGTAGGGTCGCTGGCTGCAAGATAGCACCTTGGCAACTAAAAAGAAGTAGTTGAGGCTCACAGCAATCGCTGATAAAACAATTGATAGTAACAAAGCATTAGCAAAATATTGAAAGATCATTATTTGTCATTATTGTATGACAGTACTCTATAGTATGACAATATTGTACAAGTTGTATAATTGTCTTTATACAACAAGTAGTTGATCAGGTCTGTTTATTGCAAAAAAACTTTAAATATGTCTGACTGTCACATCTGCTATTGCAAATGCTAAGGAAGAATATTGGGAAAAGAATACAGGTTGATTGACATATGCTGAATTTTCAGTTTTGTTTAAATACTGGCTTGGGCCAAAGTGAAGGCTTTGAGATTAAAGCAGATGTCAAATTCTTAGATTGTCAGTTTAGTCTGTTAGAGTATAATGAAATAATTGCTCATGAGAAATGTTAATTTCAATTTTTAATCTTTTTAGATGGATATCTTATTCCAGCTCCATACTATGGTGGTATAAATTTGAAAACATGGCTATATGGCGGGATACAGCCTGTTCATGTGCCCTTGTTCAGTGAGGTAAAGCTTTAGTTATTCACAGGCTTTAACAGACATTTCATAGGGAATGATCAGAAAAACCTGAAAATGCAGACCGGGTCCAAGTGAAGAGATAGGACAAGTCTAGCACTTTTAGACAGCCTGTCTTTTTCTCAGCCTGCAGCATGATAGGCAACTGGTGTCATCAGACGTGTAGGATTACATTTGTGCCATGCAGAGACTGTTCTGCACTGACATGCTGAATTATAATTTGTCAGCTCTAAGTCTGTCACTCCTACTATGAGTAAATTTGGTTTGCAAATTTTTCCCTTTAAGCACTTAAAGATGTATCTACCACATAGGTTGTGTAACATTGGTTCCCCCTTTGAAAGCTCAGTAATTCCTGAGGCAGGTCAAAGTGTCTTTTATAAGACCAAATCATACAGTCAGAGGAGAAAAAAAGTGATCTTTCAAGTACGCAAGTTCTCCTGTAAGTCACTGATAGTGTAGTCTTGGATAAGGGAGACATTAAAAACAAAATAATTGAGTTATATAGAAAAGACTGATCTTAGTTTCAAATTCTTTTACTTTATAAAAGCCAGTAGCAATTTTATTTTCACTAGGTGGGAGTGTTCCTTCACTGTCTGCTTTTTTATTTCTTTATATTTTTAATACTTTTTAATTCTTACTGGGTTTTTTTGTTCTGTAGGTGACTGATGAAGAAAGTCATCCTTTCCGGTTAACAGTTGAAAAATTGGAAGATGCATTGCAGAGAGCTAAAAAGCAGGTATCAATAACATTGATTTCTGATTTTCATGTTTTCTTAGTTATTTTGTAAGTAGCATATGTTTTCAGCATTGAAGCATTTGTACAATTTCATCTGTGCAGATTTTCAGTCTTGTGACTAAGGTGAGTCCAACTCTAGCAACAGGAGTTGAACTGATTTTCCAGTGTGGGCACTGTAACAAAATACAGAGAAACTCCCTGACTCTGTTTTATGAAGAACAGATCTTAACTTGTGTTTCAAGACCAAGTTTCTTTCTCTGTAGATTTTAATGGAATTCAAAGTGTTGTAAACAAGCTATTGTCCTGACCCTCAGAAGATAGAATATGCTACTGTAACAACCCGCTTGGTTAATGAAAGAAACATGTCCAATGTGATTTTGAAGAGGGTTCTTCTGAGTTCCAGCTAACAAGAAATTGCTAGCAAACAAAGAAGTACAAATGTAATTCTTCCAGCGTTTAGGAATTTAATTAGTTCAAAATACTCAGCATGTTCAGTGATTTTATTCTGATCAGGATTGCATAAATAAGGATTTTAATTGCTTGTCACAGAATTTTTTTTTTCCACGTTTCTCTCTGTTTTTGGAACTGCTTTTCTTCTATGTAAAAACTTGGGTTTGTGAGTGTTCACAGAATAGTGCTCACCAGTATTTCAGGCTAAAATGTTTCCTATTCCTATTATCTTGATATTCATAATCCACTCACTTCATGGAAAATTATAAATACACTTAAACTTAACTGTTTGTGCTCGTCCTTGAAAAGAGCCAGCAAAGGTGTGGTGGTGATGACAGTGACGTTTCAAAACATTAAGTGAGATAGACTTCTTGTGTCCTCTTCCAGGTTAGAAAATGAGGTTTAACAATAGATAAATCATATAGTTACAAGGAAGATCACTGGTAGAGGTCAGTTATAAGTAAGGTCACATACAGAAGGTGGGTATTTTGGATACATGCAAATGTGTGTGTAACTTTTTTTATAGCTCTGTCGAAGCTGTCCTAGTTAGCTAATTACTTGATCAGCATGGTGCCTATGTTTAGACACCATCTGTACGTCCATGTCATCTGTCCGTGCCTTTGCCAGCCCAAGTGAGCCCGAGCATTCAGCCACTTCCCACTCGATGGGAGCAGAGGGAGGCAGGTAGCGTCCCTGCGCCGTGCTGGGGCTGCCAGGACATGAGCTAGCTGGACAATGTGCTGGACCACAGACCAGGTATTAACTCTTCAGAGCTCTGCGTGGGTTTGTCAGCCTTCTAGAGCTGAAGCTGTTCTCACAAATGATATTATAAACATCTGCTTTGGATACATGTAATATCATAAATAACTGGAGGAACGAGACTAGAACAACAATTGAGAAGCTGCCATCCCACAGCAGCTGTTCCTATGGACAATAATGCCTCACTCAGAATCTTCTGCTTAATACACGTCAGATATCAAATACACTAAATATGCTATTGTGAAAGGAATACTTGGGGAACAGCTATTTGTGTTTAATATTTGCATCTTACTTTGTTTTCAGGTAATTTCTTCCTGTAGCTGGAATCAAAGGCTGAAAAAAAAAGCACTGAAAGTTCATTTCATGTGAAGTTCTTGCTCACAGTAACCATTAATGCTTAAACAAATTGCATAAGTCAGGGAGAGCAAATATCAGGGCTTTCTCATCATTGAACTTGATTTCCCGGAGTTCCCTGGGAGTTGGTCTTTGCAAATAATGGCCTTTGGAGGAGGCTCATGTGGAGTGAGAATTTGCAGTGGGTGATGTTTTCTAAAAATTAAAAATGTGGAAACAAAAAACAATAGTTTAATTTCAAGTTTATCCCCAGCATGAAGTAAAAAGGCAACTCCTCATGTTGATGTGCTTAAAGTCTTGAGAGTTCCTGCTGTAGTCATTGCTCTCTTTGATTATGTACAATAAAAGTATATTTGGTGCATATAGTTTATGTTAATGTACATTAAGGATTTTTTTTTAGCAAATAGAAAATAGATGATTTTCTGAAAAATACCTGTTGAGTTAAAAAGACTGGTTATGTTTGTACTTGTAATCTGATTTTTTAATCAAACGTGAGTCTTCGTAGTACACAGTAGAATATTCAGGTTCATGGAGAGAGAATTTCCATAACAGAAATTCTGTACTGTTGATAAATATAATTAAAAAGTAATTATTTGCCCAGGGCTTCTACACATCTCCTAGAACACCAAGTAATTTCATTTTCTGTCTTCTCCAGATTGTATTACTTGTTTAAAGAAACAAGCAACATTGAAAAATTACTTACTTAGCAGGTTATTAAATGTCAAAGTTCAATTTCTGTTCAGTTTTTCCAGCTTTGTCAACAGTAACTTTGCTCAGTCCTGGGAAATTATTTTGGAAGTATGCCTGTAGAAACAGTATTAATCCCTACAACACCATAGTCTTGCCTGTCGATAACAATGGGTGTTTCAGATGAGTGCTAACCTGATTACCCTTTACTAATAAACTATTTAGTATGTCTTTTGGGGTGTTATTGGATAAATTATGAAACAAAGTCAGTAGCTGGAACCTTAGTCTATATAGTAATTATAGTATGTAATTAAATAATTTTCAGAAGCTGCTTTTCACTGAAGGGTTCACAAACTTCCTCGCTTCATCCTCACTAGTCATTGGTTTGACATTGTTTGTGTCTCCAACTATCAGTTTTTCTTTTTCCAGGGCATCCGAATCAGATCATTAATCCTGATCAACCCCCACAACCCATTAGGGGACATTTACTCAGCACAATTACTGAAAGAATGTCTAGAGTTTGCACACCGGTTTGAACCCTAGTGCTATTTATTTGGTATTTACTTTTCTGTTAATGCAATATAGCAGTGATGAAAAATCACCTTTTGGTGATTGCCTGTTCTTTGCTTGAACGTGTTTGGAGGAGGTGGTGGACAGGGAGGGTCCTGATCATATTTCTTGTGTAACTCTCCTTTTTACTTGTCCTTTCTGGGAACACTAGAATAAATTGCTTAAGGTGGGATCCAACACTGTCTTTCTGAATGAAATACTGTTGGAATTTTTTTTTCTTTTGTGTGTGGTTTAAACTTATAAAGCTTTTTATTTGCTTGACAATGTTTCTTTATTAAACTGCTTTGATGCATGGCTCTGAAAGATGACAAGTTGATTATCAGTCTGTATCAGTAGTAGTAAACATGGCCAGCGCCATCATTTGAAACATTATCAAAATAAGAAAACCTTAACATTTGATATTAGGGGAGAGTAATTGAATTGGCAAAGAGTAAATCAACGGTCTGAAGTTTTGTAGCTTTTATACCTACTTAGCTTGAGATAAGCAAGCAATTCACTTTCTGACAAAGGAATGTACTTCTGAAACATCTCTTCCCCATTCCACTTCTTTTATCCTTGCCCAGCTCAGAGTTCATGTTCAAGGCTCCAACAGTCTCCTGAATCCGTTGGGTACTGGTGGAGAAAAAAACATTTCCATTTGAAAAACATCTCTATTTTTTTAGGAAAAGATATATTTCTTTATTATTTCAGTGAGCTTCTGCCAAATGATGACCACAAAATCCTGTACACACTTTGCAAGCTAACAATACTTAGTATCTGAGAGTCTTAAATAGAATAAGTTAGTATTAATTGTTTGTTAATTACCAAAGATTACTGGGGATGGCACAACATTCCTGCATTTTTGGCATGATTTTCTTTTCATGGAAGTGGCAGTTGTGTTGGTAGAATTCAGTGGGCTACCTCCAGTTACAAAGTTTTTTAAAAGGCAAATGTATCTTTTCTCAGCATGCCCCATGGATTTCAGGATGCAACCAACTTAAGCTGGTACTATAATAATGTTAGTGGATAAGGTTTAGAAGAAATAATTTTATTTTTAATGTAAAAACAGTTCTGAAACCAAACTTCCTTCTAAATAAAATTATAGAACTCAATGATCAAAGTAAATGAACTTTACTTAGAAGAGGATACCTGCACTATTTGGATGTTTAAAACTGTTCTGCAGTTTTGTCAGTATTTATAAATATGTGCATAGCTTTTATGATAATGTGGCTTTCTGTTTACTGTGGTTTTCACAGCAAAAGTATATTAGGTAGTTATCTTAAGTGCATGACAAGTCTTTTTTAAAATCTAACATCTGCATTTGACTTCCCGTCTCACTGGAGAAATCTTGCAGGGTAGAGAAGTTTATAATACATTGCTGTGTTCATTTTAAAATTCAAATAAGAGTTGGATGGGACCATACATATTCCAGAGAACCATTGGATTGAGCATGCAGTTGGATTTTGTTTCAGATATATGAAATGTTACTTCTGCTGCGAAATACAGAATATGTATAAATAGAAGTTGGTGATTCACGAGCGCTCACAGTATGCCTGGTGACCTCTCTGTGTAAAATTTGTAGGGGGAATATAATAACAAATAGGCATGCTAATGGATAGTTTGCTATGGCAGTAGTTGAGATTATACATAAATATATGCAAAGAAGTTTCTTTTAAATATGTTAATATGCCTGTATTTTTACATACATAGATACAAATTGCATGTAATAATGGATGAAATATACATGCTGTCTGTTTATGATGATACCACCTTCACCAGTGTTCTTAGCTTAGATTGGTAAGTGTGATTTCTTAACAGGGATTAGAAGCTATTTAATCCTAAATAGAACCCATGCCATTTTTTTCAGACTTCTGGTTATCTAGTGTAACTGGTACAGTGCAAATGAACACATATTCAAGTCTTTGCAACTATGAGACTAGTTAATACAAGAGATCTTCCTCATAGACGGCTTTAAATGGCAGATCTTTTGCTTCCAGCTAATGTGTATGATACAGTAATAATAACAATTGATAGAGCCCATAGTCATTCTGCCACTGCTTTTCTTTGTTGCTCCCTGTTAAACAGCCTGAGCATAAGGCTCTCACTGTAATGGTAGTGAAGTTGCTTAAGGTTGTTGTACAAGTTACCTGCTGTAATGAGGCTTCTTCCCGACTAAATATACTGTTGGGCTTTTAGTTTCCTAACAGGTGATTAAAAGAATAAATGTTTTAAGAATATTTAAACATATTTATATCTGACTAATAAAACTTCTTTCCCCAGAAGTATGTGTTGGCTTTGTATAACTGCATAAATTTCATACTGATGGGATATTTCCAAGTCCATCCAAGTACAGCCAAGCCTAGTGAGCCTGCACCCATACAAGATCATGAACCATAAATGAAGCCTAAAAAAATACTCCTGTCATTGTGAAAGTTCACCCAACTCCATTAGGCTCAAGAAGGAATTTTCCAGCTGTGGCTGTACTTACACAAATTTACACAAAGGAGAAAAAAAAAAACACATCATTTTTCAGTGCTACACTGCGGTGTATTTTGTTTAGTTCATCCCACTGTGTAGGTGCCTGCTCTAAAATGTTCAATTTTCCTTTTCATAGCCTAAAATGGAGCATAGCTGAGCAAACAATTCTTCTCCATCAAGTACAATAGCAGTTGTGCATCACTTGTGGAAATACTGCTTTTGTTTTAATGCGTGTGTGGTCACTGTCTATGCAGTGGGAATCTGGGAATTGTAACTGGACTGTTACATCTTAGTGCAGATCCCTTCTGTTTGGGTTTGGTTTTTTTTTTTTTAAATCAGTGCTTCAGCACATACTTGGGAGATCAGTATCGTACGGTAATGTTTTGTTAAAAGATCTCTGAAAAAATGTCATGTCACATTAAAGGATTAAATACCAATTTTACTAAGAAATAACTACAATTTTACAAATATAAGCATTTTTCTAAGCTGCATAATTTACTCTTCTATAGCAACAGTTCTTGTCTTCCTCTCTTCTCATTCAGTTTACCAGATCCAGAACGGACACATTTTATGTGGGGTTTTAGCAAGGTGGGTGAAATACTGTGTTTGTGGTTTTATTTAAGATATTTCTCCACAAAAATTAGTTGGGCTATTCTGACATAATTTGTGTTATAGGTGCCAAACCGAGTTTCTCTTTGTTAATTAATTTGCTTTCTTCTTTGGCAATGTAAAATTTGTTAAAGTTTAATTTGGGACCTTCTTAACAGCAACAGTTAATGCATATGTATTAAAGTCATTGAAACATAAAACCACATTTTGGATCTGTAGCATTTTGCCTTTTCTCTTGGAGGGAGCAGTAAACTGATGACTGCTTGGAAACAATAGCAGGGTATATTGGGGACAGCCCAAGGGTATGAGCTAAATATGTTTTCAGTTGTCTGTAAAACAACCCTGTAAAATCCACTGACCTCCCTGCCACAGGGCTGTTCAGAAGTTGCTGGCTGATTTTCATCACGCTTAGGACTCCGTTTGGCAACATTGAGAATTTACTCCAGAAGGGGTTTTTTCGTATACATCACAATGATTCTAGACATGGGGGCTTGACAAAGCACAAACAGAGAGTAAAAATGACACCTCACTGTCTTCTTTTTGTCCTCCAAGGATTTTGGTATGAGTGGTATCAGAGTTGGAGTATTGTACACCAGAAATTATGTAATTCGGAAAGCTGTAAATCAACTGGCTGTCTTCCATAGCTGTCCTGGACTTGTTCAGCACATTCTCAGTCAATTCGTTAGGGACAGAGGTTAGCCACACTAGAAATGTTTCCATTGCACTGTTTGTTGGGGTTTGGGTTTGTTTTTTTTTTTTTTTTCCCCCATTGCAAGTGGGAATAAAACAATTATATTTTTCTTGCTTTGATAGATTGGTCGGATAATGTGTTTTTTCCCACCAACAAAAAGCGACTTAAAGAAGCACAGAATATTCTCGTGGATGGGCTTGCAGATGTTGGAATACCCGTGCTGAAAAGTTTGGGAGGACTCTCTGTGTGGGCAGAAAAGTATGTAAAGTTTAAAAAGGGGTGGGAATGTAAAACACGGAAGTGTAAAAATTACTTGTGTATGTTATTACACACTTTATCAAGGCCTGGAAAATCCTTTTAATGAATTAATGCACATGTTCAACCTTTAATAAAAAACTATTTTCTTCTTTTAGTTCTTAAAATCACAGACATTTGAAGCTGAACTTGAATTATGGCAGAAGCTTCTTGATAAAAAACTCCTTAGTCCTGGAAAAGCTTTTTATTGTTATGAACCTGGATGGTTTAGACTGGTTTTCTCCGATTCTGCAGATAAGATTTACTTGTGTAAGTGGGTTTTACTTCTAATATGGCATGTAGTAGCACTCAAGTTTTAAGAGACATTAACATCATAAATAATGAGTTCAAACCTAATTATTCTCTCTCAGCTTCTGAGGGGCATTTTTAGAGTTTGTATGAACTGAGAAGTATCAGATCGGCCCAGAGCGTAGGTTACAAAGCACTTATGTTGGGTTATGTTAAACCTCTAAAGCCTTCAGAATTTAATTTTAAAAATTTATTTTTACTCTGTCAGAAGTAAGGAACAAATTTTATGTTTTGAAAGAGAAAGGATTTTTCTCTTTCAAATTATGCTTTATAACATGTGGGAGTTCCCTACCATCCCTCATTTTTGTGTGGCTCATGTTGGATATGAAAAATATATTCATCTCTTATGCTGTAAAATACTAAACCCTGAATGAATGCTTTATATTGTTGGTAAAGAAGATGTTCATTTATGTAAAGCACATAGAGTTATAGAAAAATGTAGATCGAAAGGGAGCTCTTGGGTCATCCAGTATAACTTCCTGCTCAAGGTAGGGCCAGTTTCTAAGTCAAAGAGCAAGCTGTCAGTCAAGTTTTGAGCCTGTCTAAAGATAGAGGTTACACAGCCTCCCTTAGGAATCCATTTCAGCGTTTAATCACTCTCATGGTGACTGTTTTTTTCCCTAGGTCCAGTCAGTATTTCCCTCTGTATTTCCTTTTTACAGGTATTCAGAGACTTGAGCAAATGTTGCACAGTTACGCTGCTGAACCTGTCACAAACAACACATTATCCACTGCAGATGCTTTGTGCAATCCAGAAAAAGATACTTCAGGAGAACCTACAAACATACCAGGGAAAGATGTCTCCCAGATAGAAAATACACGTGTGTATCAAAATCATATATGCATTTAATGACTTGATACAGTTTAGCATGCGTATGTTTACTAAAGGTGTGTATGACTTCAGTATTTTTGGCTGTAATGTTACATAACACTCTCACTTTGATGTGACCTGGCATTAGTAATCTTGCAAGTGGACTTGCTGAAATTGAATTTTAAGGAAAATGGACCTCCTGGATATTGTGAAATTAGCCCCTGTTAAGCACAACACTTGGTTTTACTCCAGGTGTGCTCTGTGTCAGTAAAATTAGTGAGTCTTAATATATACTTGCACAGTTGTTGAATTATGAAATTTTGAAAACATTGGTAAAATGGTTCTGCGTATTACTGTATATTATGGACTGTATATTTTAATCAGAATACTGAAAGTACTGAATTGGGTGATATTAAAATTTTGCTAAACTTTTGTAGCAGGCAAAATATTTTTGTATATTCATGAAATCTCTCTCTCTAAACATAGACATCTCAAACATTTTATACACCTATCTGTATATGCATGCTAAGCGAGTACTTTCTGAGAAAGCATTTAGATTTTTGGCTTCTGTGTTCCCTTTCAGATTATTTCTGTGCGCCTGTATTCATTGGATAGTGTTTTCATACATTAACTATGAAAAACCTGTGAAGGTCTGTAATGTATACTCATTTGACAGAGTAGTATGGGGACTTTTTGACTTTATTTTTGATTTGTTGGGGTTTTTAAAAAAGCATTTGCAGAATTAATTCACCATTTGCTCCATTATATAGGTTTGGTGAGAGAAAACTAAAACTGCAGAATTAACAGGCTGCTGCTGTAGAGGCTTAGTAGGAGGATTGTCTCACTGTGGATCCCTAATAAACTTGGAATTTGTGCTCCTGGTACTAACATGGCCCTTGACCTGTTTTTCATGGCATTTAAACTTGGCAGCCTTACACTGTTCAGCCTGATAACATAAATAATGTGCCATACAGCAATTTTTAAAGCTTGTAGAATCATGGAATAATTGAGGCCGGAAGGCACCTCTGAAGACTGTACGGTCCAGTGCCCCTGCGTGGAGCAGGGTCAGCCAGAGCAGGTTGACCAGGACTGGGTCTGATTGGGTGTTGAGTATCTCCAAGGAGGGAGGCTCCACAGCCTCTCTCAGCAGCTTGTTCCAGAGTTCGATCACTCTTTTTTACTAAAAAGTTTTTTATTATATTTAAACATAATTTATTTTTCGCATTTTGTGCCCGCTGCCTCTTGTCCTGTCACTGGATACCCAGAAGAGCCTGGGTTCATCTTCCTTACACCCTCTTGTCCAGTATTTGTACACACTAATAAGATCCCCCCCTGAGCCTTCTCTATTCCAGGCTGAACAGTCCCAGCTCTCACCCTCTCCTTGTATTTTGGCTGCTCCACTCCCTTAATCATTGTTTAGGCCCTTCGCTGGTCTTATTTGAGTATGTCCATGTCTTTCTTGTACTGGAGAGCCCAGAACACTGGGCCCCAGCACTCCAGATGTGTCATGCTCGTGCTGTGTAGGGAGACCTGTGGTGTTTAACATGCTTGTCTGATCTTGACAGGGCGTGAAGAGTGAAACAACAGCAAAAAAAAACCTAATGAGTCAGCTTTTCAGACCTGTAAAAAAAAAGGTTGGTAATAAAACACTGCAGAAGACCTTCACAAAACTTGCTGACTGCACTTGGCAGATGCAATTTAATGTAGATAAATGGGAAGGGAAATCAATATGATAAGGTTTAACGATCATTACTCTTCAGTAATGGTCCCCCATGAAACACCAGCTTGTTGCTAAGAACAATTTGAGTGTTAGAAATTATTAGAGTTAGAAAAGACTTCAGAAAGTATTATGTCATTATTAAAAAATCCACGGCGTTCCTGCATGTGATACGTGCAGGAAGATGTTTAAGGTTATGTGCAGTTTAGGGCCCCCTGCATCAAAAAGTCTACAGCAGAACTGGGAAAGTCAGTTCAGTCTACTGAGGAGTCCTAAACATGCACCTCTGAAATACAGGAGTGTTTCAGGATCTAATATGGTGGTTGCCTAGGTCTTAATACCCTTCCTGGGGCATTGGGAGCTGGGCTGTGGCCTTTATTGAGGGTGGGCTACTCTGCAGAGGTTAGGTTTGCCCCAGTACATCTGTGCTTGCGTTAATCTGAAACTCTGCTTCTGCGCCCTGGGGAAAGAGAATGCAGAGCTTTGTAACAGAACAGCGAGGGTTGCTGTGGATGGCAGCACGTGTGCCGGCATCGGTGGAAACAGCAGACCAAGGGTGAAAGGTGGTGTGGTCTGCTCCGACAGTGATGGAGGCAGCTCCCAGCCCGTCGGACCGGGGAGTGAGGCAAGCCCAGGCGGTCGGTGCACCGAGGCCATAGCACGGATGGCTCCTTGTCCAGGGGCCCTGCGCTCCACGAGGGGAAGGTGCCCACAAGCCAGCGTACCACACGTGCCGTTCCTTTGTGACAGTAATGTGAGTGGGTAAAACCAACCTGTTAAATAGATTTTTTTCCCCCAGATCTTGCACTGAATTTAGTACGCTAATTTTCTACAAGAGACATTGTCACTTGTTTCTACCTCAAAGTACTGCAGTGAGTTGGTCAAAAATACTGTTGGTCAGTAAGAGCTGTGGTGAACTTGTCAGTTCCTTTTCTGATGGTCTCAGCTTATTTGGGGTGAGCTGTAGGTCATTACAAACAGGGTAAGCTTGATTTGAAAGCCTACAGAGGAAGTGTATTGAAATATGCTCTCCTGTCATTATCCCACAATATTTTTTTCTATTTGTAGCCTTACATGTTAAGCTTCAACATACCATTTCCACTTATCTCACCAAGGGGGCAATTAAGTCACAGCCAGGCTTTGCATATTCTGCAGGTAAGCAGCAGTTGCTTTTGGTTTTGTTTCAGCTAACAATAAATGCAGCTTCAGTTTCCTCCACCGTTTGTGACCAGCTTCTTATGAAGAGGAAAAGGGGACAAATCTTTTGCCTTGCCTAGCAGTGGTCTGTTGCTAAGCAGTTTAAAAACAGAGATCTAGGAAAGCTGGAAGAGTGAAACAGAAGTTACTATGCTCAGCACCATGAAGAACTATTGATCCTTCTGACACAAAAGGCTTGCTTTCTCCCACACCGTACAACAATACCGCTTTTGATTGTATGCAAAAGATGAACATAAGTAAGTTTTTCAATAAGCTTTACTACCTGATATTTGCTTGTAACCTTTGCTGATGTTCTGCTGCAGGTGTATTTAATTATTAAACACTTATGCCGTGACTACTTTGTGCAGTTATGCATCCAGTACTGAACCAACAGGTACACAGACATCACCAAGATCTCACAGATAAAGGCCTTGTTTCTTGAGAAATATTAAAGCTTTCCCTTGGCCATTCATTCTGCTGTCTTCAATTGATTCTCATTTTGGTGTTAATAGTCACTAATTGTTTTGTGACATTTTGGAAGGTGAGAAATACATGGAAAAAACAACACGGCGCAGAACAAGAATCAGTGAGGGAGAAGATGAGTCAGCAAGATCCTGGAGGAAGAAGCGCCCCACCAAAAGAACAAAGAGAGAAGATCTCCTGACATTCTACCTTCGTATGCAGGATGAAAAAAAAAACCATTCCTCTGCAAACAAGCAAAATGACATTTTCACTCTGCCATGTCCGGATTCCTTGAGGAGAGGTAACTGGAAAATTCCATATGGGGATTCCTGTAATTTGGGAAACAGATACTCTCGAGAAAGGCAATCTGATTAACAAGACAGGGTATCTTTGCTTTAATTCTTAATGGCCTACTGAAACCTAGGCTCGGGAGAGATGTTCCCAAATTCTGCTTACATTTTTTAGATTCATTGCCACAAGTGGCCTCATAGTGTGCTTTTATCCAAATGTGATCTTACCAGAAAGGAAGGGATCACTGATTGTGTAGGATACTACATACACTGAAGAGGATTATCTTTGCTTGACCTTCTGAAGACAAAAATAAACGTTCCTACCGATGTCCCCTAGAGAAAGATTTGAGTTAAGAAAAAAAAGTGTGTGTGTGTTTTGGACTTGGATCAGTGAACAGATCTGGTTTACAGCAAGGCACATTACATGGATAAAAGCAGAGAGGTGATGACCTTCAGGGATAAAGTGCACACAAGAACCATGAACACAGATTGTGTAGGAGGGCAGCAGGAACTTCTGAAAGTAGCTTTGCCCCTAAAGGAAACCTAGATTGCTTCTTTGGTAGAGGAACACTCCTGCTCTGTTCTCCCTAAATGAAAGAGTTCAGAAGATGTTGAAGGAGCCCAAATTGCTGTATGTAAGCAAACATATGCCTGGGTTTACTGTTCTGAGTCTGCTAGAGGGGAAGTGCCCAGAACAGTATAATCTTGATGTTTTCAGGTAAAAACAACCTTTCTGTCCACAGCTCGATCCCAATTGTACTTCTGTTTCACTAAACAGACATTGAAGTCCTTCAGTGTTTCATTAAGATGAATGAACTACATGAAGATGTTGTCCATGAAGAACTTACTATTGTCACTGAAGAGACTGAAGTTATGAAAAAATAAGTTACCAAAGAAAAATAACCTCACTGAAGCTGTAAGCCAAATGCAAGAAGAAAGGAGTCAGTCAGCAAGCAGAAGTTCCCCGAGAGCTTGAACCAAGAAATTAATGTAATTTTTCCGAAGGTAAGCATGACTGTGTGGGTGAGAGAGAATCGTCAAATACAAAATTCTGTTGTCAACGATCACAAGATTCTGTAGTGGGGAGCATACAAAAATAAGTATTAACAACTATTAACTATTGTAAAAGTATTTCTCCTTGGGACATCATGTTCATCTTTCATAATTTTGGAGATATACTCTGTTAGCTTAGAGCTGTACCACTTCTATCTGTGTGATAATAGATTAAAACTGTAATTTATTTGTCCAATCTTTCTAATTCAATAGCTGTAAAAAGCAGTTGAAACTACAGCATTACATCTGTTAATATTTTTGTTCTCAGTTCTGTAAGACCATTAAGGCCTTTATTGATCATAATATGCAATATGTCATCAACCACAATAAATGTGATCTTTTTTTTTGAAGGCTGCATTGTCTGAAAGCAAGGCTAGGCTTGGATGCCTACAGCCAAGGTATCCTGTAGGAGCCAGCTCCTGGTTTTTGTGCGCAGCCAGACTTTGCCAGGATGAATGAGATGATTTTCATGTGGCATAGCACAGCGGCAAGAGGGGAACCTCCTTTTAGAAGGAGCCCAAGGAGCCACACTCTTATCAGTTGTGTTTGCATAATAGTCTCATTTTCCCAGAGGAGGATAGCATCCCCCTCCCAACAAAACCACTGCCCAAATGCGAACCATTATTTTGGTAAATTTTGGTATTATTTTGGTAAAGTTCATGTGGTTGTAAGGGCTACTCCTCCTACAAATTTTCCATCCCTGCCCAGATTACTCAAGCCTGATGCTGAGAGATTTTTATTACAAATTGTGATCCATCTGGTATGTAGATTTCTCCATGTATTACCCAATCCCGTGTGCACTACCTCCCAGCCCCAGCTGTGAAAATTGTGCATTTGTCCATGTCCTGTTTCGCATCCCTTTACTGTGGGTTGTCTAACAAGAAATACTGATGAGTCTTGCATCTTCCCAAACCCAATAATGATCTATCACAGTCAGGTCAGTAACAGAACTGAGGCAGATTCACATTTGGTTTAGATTATCTATTACAGCATTTGACGATTTTGTTTTTAGTGTGCAGGTCTTTTTGTGTTTTGTCTTGTTTTGGTTTCTTAACTCTAATCAGAATATACCTTTCTTAAATGTAGTGCTGCTGGTGATTCGAAGGCAGTGAGGAATGACATTTTTATTTGATTCTGGCTTTCATTTCACAGTGGCAATGCTCAGAGTTCTTTGATTTTTCTTACAAAGATTTGACAAGGAAAACAACCGAGTTTGAAAGTCAGCCCAGAGAAGAACAAAGCTCCATGGACTATGCTGAGGCAGCACAAGGATTTTACAGTGGTCCCAAGTGAAAACCTTGGGAACTGCAGAGAAAGGAGGGAAAGCATATGAGTGGAGGGGGTCAGTCTGGTTACTGCAAGTATCTTTTAAGAGCTGTTATTTTTAACTTTCTCACAGTTGTCAATTTAATAAAGGTTAATCAGCAAAAAAGAAATCTAGAGGAAGTGAAAGGTGAGAAAGGAGAGGAAGGCCAGCAGCAAAGTCACCTTGGAATTACTGCAACACACTGGTCATGGGCACGCATCTCACTTATGTAGCAACTGAAGTTACTTAAGATTTAACCCTGTATTAGCAGGATGCTGGTAATTTCTGAGCATTTTGAACTATGGACAGTATCCCTTAAATTTAGCACCTACTCCCTTAATGCCAACTATTCTTCCTTGTATTTGAAGAGGGCAGAACTGAGGCTGCAGGCTGAAAAAAATACATCTGGTTCCTGCTGTCACAGATCCTGCCCTATTATAAGTTGTCAATACCTGAGACTTTCAAAATGTATTTCATCTTAAATCAAAGCTTTTCATGAAGTCAAAACACAAGCCTAGTACAACTTTTATAGACTTTTATACAATGTGAGGCTTCTGGGTGCTATAGTCACATGTCCCAAAAGAAAAAAACAAAGCTGAGAAAATCTGTAAATGTAAATTTAAGGCCACTTACAGCTCTTATCACTCACAGGCAGCAGGAACTGCTAACCCCAGGGAGTTCAGGCCATACAAGCACACCTCACAGTGTTTGGAGCTGACTGGCTTGTAAAAAGCTTAGTGCAGAGAACTTTAACATTGGTATTTTAGTATGTAGCGTTTTTCCCATTCTGCTATTTAAATATTTTCATTGGTATACTGAGACTGTTGATATATATAATTAGTCAGTATTTCCTTTAGCAAATGTTTTTTTAATTTTAATTGCTTGAGGAATTTTTCTTACTATCATTAATTTCAAAGACTGAAAAAACAACTTAAAATCAATTTTAAGAGACCAAGCTAACACACACACAAAAGTAATAGGAATAGGAGACTGAAATCACAAGTCAGTGTTGGCTCGCTCAGGAAATGACAATATCTTTCTGCCCTGAGAATGCCAGGACAGCAAAGCCAAGTAACAATTTTTAAATCTGCATCCAGCTTTCCAAGAAATGTATTCCCTTATATAAGCAAAGTTTAGCAGGAAACTACGTATGTAGGCTTACGTTTTAGATTCAGCTGAACAAAATTCCCTTAAAAGGTGGCTGTTAAATAGAGTACTGCCTTGCGGATCATCGGTTTTAGTCTGAAGAAGACAAATCTAAGTAGATCACTCCTCTCCAGTGTAACGGGAAACTTAACTGCATCACTGACTGTGTTTAGTGTCTATTTAAAGCTAGTCTTAAATTATTCAAGGAGTAAACAAAACCTACAGTCACAGTTAACTAAATTAAATATGCACATAAAGTGTAGGATGACTAAGAGTATGCCTTTTAACACCTTTTCTGGAAAATAAGTTAGAAAATAAAAATACTAAAGGCAACTTTTGGAAGTCAGTTATATGCTCACCAAAGTCAGACGACATGAAACTTGTGGCTTTGTCCCAAAAATGAGCAATAATGTCTGAAGAACAGAGCACAGAAACAACGCATCAAATGGAAAGAAAACTTCCACTTTAAAGATCTGATATAATTTAAAATAAATAAATACCATAATCCATAAAGTAAAACGAACATTTTATAATTTTTTAAGCTTCTTGTATGTGGTTCACAGACCTGAGAATACACCCAAAATAACTCGTCTAAAATATTCCTTTAAAAAAATCATAAATTATTGGTAACAGTTTCTTTAATGGAGATTGCAGGAGTAGGTCCCACATGAGTCCATATATAGCCCTTCTCTGGTCTTGTAGGAACTGTAGGGAAGGGAGATGATCGAGATTTGAAATATTCTGAAGGTGCATGACAAACAAATTCTAAATATTCCATTTTTCTTGGGAGATCTTCTTCTGGTCCTAAGGAAAAAAATAAATAATCTTCAAAGACAAGATTTATGTAATAAATGTATAAATGCAACAACAGTCAACATCCCTTAGAGAATGTGCCTTTTCAATCAATGACTTTCCTGGCAAAGTAGTCTCAAATACTGGGCAAGAAACCTCTACCTTTATTTTTGCTGGGCTGATCATTTTATTTTTTTCCCTCCATTATCTGAAGCATTCAGTTACTTGAGTGAAGTACTTTAGCCAATATATTTTAAACAGATACTATTGGTGGCCTATCAATCTAAGTTTTCTGAATTATTAATACTTTTATAGTCAGTGGCAGAACACTCTCTATGCCAGTGCTTACACACTATGTATTTTAAGTACTGAAGAGGAAGATCAGTAGTGCTAATCATATGATATACAGAAGATAAATAAAAGAGGTTATTGAAGTAAACCATGTTTATAGGATTAGGGTTGAAAATGTGGAAACTGCGTAAATGATCTTGACAAGCTAAAAAGTTCATTAAAAAAAATACAACTCTGCGTTAGTCTAGGCACACATAAGTAGTCGTATAAAACAAAGGCTCAGAGATTACCTATGATATAGGAAGCTGGGTCAAAACAGTCTTTGGGGCTGGCTTGTGTAGGAATGAGCCAGGTTAGCGCAGCACTCTTTTCACAGTATTGGTCCTGAATAAACCCACGGATCTGAGCGTAGTATGTTTTTCCATCCTGCTCATCAACCACTGAAACAACATCTCCAATTTGATAGTATACACCCTAGAAGACATACAAATGGTAATTAAATCAAGCAATCTGATTTTAGTAGCTTCACTCTGTGATTCCGATTCAAATCTTAAGTATCAGTATCTTTAACTACCTCAAACTACCCCAATCTTTAAAGACAGCCTTAATTCAGCCACATGCAAAAGAAGGGTGGCATAAAACAGAGAGCAGGGAAAGCAGCTTTCTGTGTATGAAGAAGTTGACTCATCTGAATGCAAAGGAGTCCTAAAGCACAGATACACCTCCTGCCACCTTCCATGGTGCTCTGTAATGTGTGAGGCTGCACAACAAAGGCAACTCATGTCATGTTGTAACAGCATCGCAGAGCACGACACAGTGCTTGCACTATCAAGAACAGAGTTTGCAAAGAATCATCCAGGAGGATTTTATTTTTAAAAAAGATAGAAAGAAAATAAAAAACCCAATCCCCTTCTCAACAACACAGCAAAGTATTAAAATAGAAACATTTTGCCTAAAGAGATGAGGTTAAATAAAACTTTTGACATAATTCTTAGGAATTTCTGGAGAAAAAAAAAAAAAAACAACAAACCAAAACATGGAAGAAAAGAAGAAAAGACATCAATGCTCTTCCAAACTTATCAACAGCAAACAGAGATTCATCTGGGATGTGAGACATGAAGCATCAGGTCTCTAGAGAACATATGGAAACTCAGTCTTCTACTTCTCCTCTGGCTATGCAGTCTCTCAGTGGCCATCCTGACCTTTTCTTTGGGGGAAAAGGCATTTCAAATGGTTTGTTTGTACTATTAGGGAACAACAACAAATTTCAGAACTTCAAAACACTAGCACGTTGGCATGCTGGTAAAAATGCTCTCAAGCATGCATGCGAGAAGGTTTGCTTCTGCTTTCACTGCAAGCCAACAGATCCTGTTCCCAGGGTGTTCGAGACTGCTTACACCCGGCTCTGAAGTGGGAGCCAGTTTAGATGTTAAGGCAGTGCAAGATATCCCCTTTACAGTGCAAGATATCCCCTTTACAGGCAATATTCCCTGTGCCTAAGGTAGGAAACATCAATTTCAGTAATCAGCTATAGTCACTTTTGCTAGACCTCTATACAGTAGAAGTTAAAAGTTTAAAAAACTCGCCTACAAAAATTACCAAGGAAACTGGATACATCTTTTTCTTGGAAGAAAAAAAAAAAAAAAAAAAAGGGACAATGATAACTCTGTAAACTACTGTGGTAAACTACCTTGCAAGACTTAATGGCAATAACGTAAGGTTGAGCAAAATCCTACACAACTGCCAGGCCAGGAAGAACGGTTTCTGTGAATACATCTCTAGTGCTTTTATTGTCTGTGGTAATTTTTCAGATCAGAAATAGAAACAAGCTTTTCGGGAACAGGCTTGCATAAACTGTACCTTATAAAAGATTGATTCTGCTGTAATTATAGTGGACACAGACTCAGGAGCCTTGATGGGCTAAGAAAAGAACACAGAAATGAAAAATCAAAAGTGTTAAAACAAACCAGCCATGGAATACAATCCCAGGGTTTTTTTTCCCTTTAGACAACATGTTGACACATTAACTTCTTAGAAAATTAGTAAAGACAAGAAATCGGGTGCAAACATTCCAAACGTTTGTACTTCGAAACGGAAAGCAACTGAGTTCACACTTTCATTGTGAGGATTCTACGCGGAGCAGGGAGTACAGAATCCACACGGCCCGTTTCTGTTTACACGAAACTGCTTCCCTGACGAAGGGCTGCCCGCTGTGCAGACCGCCAAATCGCGGGGGCAGGAGCGTCCACAGGACCGAGGAATCAGCCGGCTCTGGCCGCGATTGCAACCCCTTCCCACCCAGGTTTCGGGCAGGTTTTGCGCCGGGAGCCGCAGAGCTCCGCGCCGGGCCGGGTGCCCGCCCCGGGGAGGCGTTTCTGCAGGGGACGAGCCAGGGCGCCGGGCCCGCCACTTCCCATCCCAGCCGCAAAAACCCCCGCACCACCTTACGTTTTTTAACTTAAAGATGTGCCTCCTCCCCTTGCCCTTCGTGGAAACCTTCTTCTCCGCGGCGGGCGCCGACTTGTACTTGGTGTTCCTCAGCCGCGCGGACCGCCGGTGGATCTCCTGCTTGCTCTGGGGGCGGGAGAAATCACCGAATAAACACACGGGGAAACACGGCGCTGCCCCGGGCGCGGGGGTACGGCCTGCCCGTCCCCGCTCTCCCCGCCGAGACCCGGCCCGGGCGTGGCGCGGAGCTCGGCCCCGGCGGGGCTCACCTGCTTCCCGCCGCCGCCGTTGCTGTGCTGGGCGGCGGCCGAAGTGGTGGCGAAGGCGGCGGGCCCGGGCGGCGCGGAGCGGGCCGTGCAGTTGTTACACAGGATCTCGCCCTGGCCGCCCTTCTTCCACATGGAGGAGGACGTGCTGCGGCACACGCTGCAGGTGGGCTTCAGCCCCAGCGGCATCCTGCGGCCGGCGGCGGGGCCCGCGGCCCCCTGGCAGCGACGCGGGGTGCGGGGAGGGGGGGGGGAAGCGCCGCGCCGGCCCCGGCCCCGGCGCCGGCCCCTTCCCGCCGGCGGCGGATGTCGCTGCGGCGGGGCGGGAGGAGCGGGGCGGCCGGCTCTGCCCTCAGCTGCCTGCGGGGCCGCCCGCCGCCGGGGGGCGGCCGCGGCCCGCCGCGCCTCGCCTCGCCTCGCCGGGGCACAGCCCCACGCCGGGCCCGGCCCTGCCGTGGGAGGCTTTAACGGAGTTCCGTGGGTCCGTGTTCCGGCCACGCAAAGCCTGTGTCAGAAGTGGCGGTCAGCGAGCGTTGGCTCGCGGAGCCCAAAAGAGAAAGGGTTGCTGTCCCAAGCAGGGCACATCTCTTGCCTCGCAAAAAGTGTGACAGGGAGCGCAGTGTCCCTTCAGTCCCGGCGAGAGCGAGAGGCAGCCAAGGGGGGCAGGTGCGGTGGGTTAGGCAAAGCACAGGGGCTGCCGCCGGCACCTGCTCCAGTCCTCGTTGGCAGGGGGATGCTGGACTCCGTAGGCCAAAGACGCGCAGCTCTCATCCTTCCTGCTCGCTAGAAAATCGGAGGACAAGAGAGGAACTTAAACAGTCGATCTGGTTCAGGAGAATTGCGGATCTTACCCTCAGTGTACACCAGCTTTGGTCATCATTAAGCCAATTGCCCCTCTTGCATGGACCCGCAGTCACGTATCAAATAATTTAAAAGGCTAGGGAGTGAAAGCATGGCTTTACGAAGCTTTGCCAGCTAAATGGGGGAACCATGGATCTAACAGCGGTTCCTCACCCTGATGCTGCTTACATGGTCTCAAGCCATCCCGTATAGATGTTTCTCTAGTCTGATGCCTGCCTGCTTGATACCTGTGAACTCAGATTATTAGAAAAATTATATTTGTGGAATAGAATTATTAAGATCAATTTAAGATGTTTTAACCTTTAACCATTGTGCTGCAGAACAAAGACTGATCTTTTGAGGAACAGTTAGAATAACTGTAGGATGAGGAACTCATAAATAATTTTACTTGAGATGGTTTGGCCTTGCAGTAGCAGGTGCAAAGGAACATAAAGATAAGGAAGCTGCAAATTAGCAACACACCCAGACCAGGCCAGCCTTGGAGGACAAGATATACGTGACCACAGGAGTGAGTTTGTGCAGAAGTAAGGGTCAGCTGGTGGACACAGTGAAGAAGACTACGCGCCTTCATCTAAAGAACCCTGACGACCACCTGAAGGCTCCAACAGACATGTGCAAGAGACATTAACATACGCTAATGAGTTCCCAGAAAAGTTATGAATATGATAAAAATGGAATGAGTATGTATGATTAAGGTAGTATAAATGCTTGTTGATTTCCTTTTCAGACACACACATTAGGAGGAGCTATCCCCTTTGTGTCCGGCA